ATTGTAGTTTTCCTGCTGATAAATTAATAAATGTTTAGGCAGGTGGGGATATGAGAGCAGAGTGTTGCTCTTTCCCCTTCCCAGGCTGGTTCTTTTCTGGTGTCCCCATCCAGGGATGCTACCCAGGTGATTCCTTGGGCTGGCTCAGCACCTCTGGGGAGTTTGTTCAGATGTCTTCTGAGCTCAGTGAAAGGCAGGCCTTGCCATAATTAGTTAGAAATCAGAATCAAACATGGTGTAGAGGAGAAAAGGGGAAATGGAGCTCCAGGGAGGTGAAACAACTGTTCCAAAGAGTCACTGAAGATCAGGAGCAATAATGGTGTCTGGAAGCCTGGTGTTGACACAGGCAGTGAGCTGAGCACTTACTTCTGCAAACAAGTTCCAATAGAACTGGTTTTCAGCCTTGTTTCTTGCTGGAAATGCTGGAACCTTCTCCAGCACAGAAGGAAACAGGAGTTTTTTTTTCTCAGCATGAACGAGCTGCAGGGTTTGTGGCCTGCACAGCTCACTGCTGTTCGTCCTGCCACGGATTGGAAGTGGCTGTGTGGGAATCACTGGGGATATCAAGAGAACATAAATTTCTTTTCTAACATGCCAGGCTTGCTATGCTTTCTCCACTTCCTGGGAAGGACTTCGTGGGGAGTGTGGTGGTGGGACCTCAGTTGCAAAAACAAACGGCGTTCAGGAGGATGGAATGAGCTGAATCAACAGTTGCAATTAGTTCCACACTTCTTTATGAACTTCCTCCATGTGCCCCACACAGGGAGACATCCCCGTTTCACATGGAAATGCAGTCCTTTGGGTGGGACCCAGCAGCTGTTTCCCAGCCCACAGGCATGCTCCTGAGCAGCACACAGTACCAGCACAGTGCGGGCAGAGAAACCCATTAAAATGCTCCTGCCAGTCAGAACTGCAGGGGAGGCTCGATGGGTGAAATGTAATTATCAGGGCTGGCTCGTGGCCAGGGAGCTGCCTGTGGCACTGCCTTTCTCCTGCAAACACTGGGCAGTCTGTGTTGTGGCATTACCTCTGCCATTCAGAGGGGTGCAGTATTGGAGGGCTTAGTTCCTACCCTGGCTCATCAAAGAAAAGGACAGAATTTATCTTAATAGTGATTTACAGCCTCGTTGGTGGGAGAAATGAGGGACTTCAGGTGGCCCAGCAAGGCAGGGAGCAGCAATTCCACGTTGGAATTGCCAGGGCAAGGACATGTCCAAGTGCACACCCCCCAAAATTCTTCCCCGTCTGCAGTCGCTGATGAACCCTCACCAAACTGAAGGCATTTGCCCTGACAGAGGCAGGGCTGCTGCCCACCACAAAGCTCCAGCTGAGCCCAGGATTCCATGGAGTTAGCTGTTCCACCACCTTTCTGATCCCTTGGATTTGTGGGAAGAATAAACCAGGCAGTGCAAGCAGAACAGTCTTGCTGCATGTGCCATCTTCTGCTGCAGATTTTCTTTTCTAGCACAACAAATGTTGTTCTGATGCTCTTTTGGGGTGGTTTTTCTTTCTTTTTTTTTTTTTTTACTTAATTTGGTCTGCAGCCATCCATTTATATTCAGGGCTCTTGAACACAGTAAGTCAGGAAGGAAAGCTCTGATGAAGGGCAACTGCTCCACTCGTAGCCAGACATAGATGTGGACAGTCTGTGTCTTGTTTTAACAACTTAATTGCTTCAAGATCTCTTGCTTAAACCTCTGAACTCGGGTCCTCTTGCAGGAGCTCCCAGGTCCTGCTTATCATAAGAGTAAGATCACCTTAGGCAACCTGTTCAAACTGTTACACTCCTTCCTGGGTTTATTTATTTATTATTATTCCTCAGGGGCAAAATTTCAGCCCAAAGGATGTGTCTGTGAATTCAAGTGTGCTTTGTGTGGAAGTGCCTGCACCAAGCAAGCACAGCCAGCACGACCTGGATCTTGTTTTGGGAAGGTGAACATGGGGATATCTGCCCTGGCCACCCCGTTATCGTGGCTGTTGTGCTTGTGATTTGCTGCTTGAAACGTGAAAGATGTCTATCTGGGATTACCAAGCTGCTCAGAAACAGGGGATGCTGCCAGTGTGTTTTCTTGAGTTCAAATGTATCTGGAGTTCACTCTGTCTGGTACTGAACTGATTCAAGTTCAAGGTGATTTAATTCCTGAAGGTGGCTTTAAGATCAGTGTGGGTAATTTCTGCAGCCTTTTCCCCTTTGTAATGGTAATGGCAATGTCTGAGGGTGTTTGTGACTCTTAATCCCACTGCAGGTGAGTAAGAAGTGGGTACCCAGTGCCTCATCCTTCAGGAAATCACAGCCCAGGGCAAACATTCCCGAGGAGTTGCTTGGCTGGGGTGGAATTTGCCCCTGCTCAGCAGCACTCCCAGGGTGACCCACAGCCTCCATCAGCTGGGTTTCCCTTCACCTGGGGTCCTGCATTGCCAGGGCTTCTTCTTCCAGGAGCAGGGAAAGGCTCAAGAGCAAATACCCAGAAATATGGAAGGGATTTGTCTTGGAGTCAGGGCTTGTCATCAGCAGAAAAACCCAAAGGAGGGACCTGTTATCCTGCCCCCAAAAACCTTGTGCCAAGTGCTTGTTTGCAGAACTTGCTACAATCCAGAGTGTGGAGGGTGTAGATCTCCCTTACACCCAGTTTCATCTTTTTTTTTTCCCTCTTTCTTTTTTCCTCTTTTTATCCCCTGGTTTGATTTTTGTCAGTGAAAGCCCTGGCAGAGAGATTCCTCAGGGGATGAGCCACGCTCAGAGCCATCCTTGCATCTCCATAATGCCAACATACTTTCTAAACATCTCCCTTTAACTCCCCCACCTGAAAGAAAGAAGCCTTAATTATCAAGTTATTAGGAGAAGCTTGTGTTGTTTTTCCCTTCAGTGTTTCCTCTGTTGCTCTTGCTTTGGTGATAAGAGTTTGAATAATGCAGCTGACTCCATGTGGTGCTGGAGAACTGTTCTGTCTCCAGGCAGTTCCTTTTTGACAGCCTGTATGTGTTTCCCTTCTCATATTTATGGGTTATGCTCTTAGGAATAATGCACTGCATCTGGAATGCCAGTGCCCTCCTATCCTGGTCCTTCTCCATCCTTTTCTTTAAAAGCCAGCATCCATCTAATCATTAGATTAAAATTAGTCCTCAATAAATTAACCAGTTATTGTTGGAGCCTCTTATACTCCAGTTCTTACACAGCTAAAAATAAAGGGAAGAGCTGAGGCCCTGTTGCTTCTCAGTGAAAGGTATTAAATATATCATTAATTGAGCACTTAGTTAATTAAAGACCTTATAATTGTGTTGTTTAAGGAGACTTGGCCAAGTGATTTGAGGGCTCAGGGGACTGGTGACAGGATATAACCCTGGTCACCTCCAGGCCTGTAGTTCAAGTCTGATTTCTGTGGATGATGGCCAGAAAGTGGTCAATGGACTGTGGAAATGCACCTTTTGCACAGGAAATGCAAAATTCTCCCAGTTCAGTGGGAGAATGTTCTTTGTAGAGTCACTTAAAATGAGAACTCGGTCCTTCAGCTCATGGAATTCTCTTTTCATTTTACTCAGGTTGGTCATCTGCCTTCCTGCTTGAACAGTAGAGAACTGGGATCTCTTTCTCCCCCTTTTAGGCTTTTAAATAAAATATAACCACTTAATCCAGCAGGTAAAGCTGAATTAGAACTGGGACTGCTAATTGGGAATCATCATGTTCTGTTTGCAGAGATAAATTAAAAGGAGTCTTGGATCAGAGCATGTTTGTTTTTCTGCAGTGGATGGTTCTTGCCCCCTGGGGTTCAGGTTGCATTTAGGCAGGTTGATTGCTTTCATCTCAATCTTGTGCAAAATTGGTGGTGTCCTGCCTTTCTAGGTTAGAAAATTGAGGCAAAACCGCTGATTTCATGATAAAATATTCCCTGAGTCATTGACAGAGGAGGGACCTGCTCTCTTTGGTTCCTGGGTGTGCATTTCAGCTCTTTCCCAGCACTAGTAAGATTTAAAAACAAAAATAATGTGGAAAACCAGTTTCCACTGGATGTACAAAAGGATTCTTGAACACAAAGGATCTCTGCCTGTTTAAAATACTATTTCTTTTTTAAACACAGAAAAGTAGGTCCTAGCCAGTAGATAAGTGGGTAGAATCAAGTAAAATCTGAGATCCTCTGTCAATCAGTGTATTAAAATGAGCTGCAAACCAGGAGGGTGGGGAGGGGAAGAGACTCAAATTCTTCTTTCTCTTGTCTATCTGCTGATTAAAGATGTCACCCTGGGAGTGCTGAGTGGAGATGGATGCCCTGAATTTATTGGGAGCAAGACTGAGTGTAGTGAACCCCTCGTGTGCCACGGCCGTGCCTGTGATCCATTATCCAGGAGCATCCCTGTTAATGATTGAGGATGTTGATGGCATCGGTTGTTCCGTGCAGAATTTACATCCTGCCTCGTGACAGGACTGGAATATGTAATAATTCCCAAGCTCACCAGGCTGTGTGTAGACATGTGGTGTTTGGAATGAGAAGATGGATTGTTGCAGCGTGTCTCTAAATTCCCAGTTTCCAGGTGGATTCTGTGTGTGTGTGTGTTTTGGGTGCTCTGCAGCCTTCCCTTCCAGCCTGGCTGAAAGGCTGCCAGGCCCCTCCAGCTTCCAGGAATGCCAGTGCCAGTGTCAGAGGAGTTTTGAAGGTGACAGCTCCCCATTTTGTCCAGGTTTTCAGGTCCTCAGGAATTACAGAACAGTGCTCACTGCACATCCTGCTTTTATGGCACGGCTGGAAAAAGCCTTTTCCTACCTGCAGCTCTGCCTTAAGGGAACACTGAGAGATAAAACAGGCACAAGAGATGAGCAGAATGAACATCAGGAATCTGGTCCTCCCCTAAAGTGTAAATGGCTGTTGAGGTTGGGTGGATTTGGGTTTTAATTCAGGCAACTCGGAGATTTGGGGTCGGGCCAGACTAGGCTGTGAATTTTCTCTCTATGTCAGAGTGGAGAAATGTGGGTAATTCTCTTTTTTTTTTATTTTCCCTCTTGACAGCTGGTCCTGGCTGAAAGTTCTCACTCTGACACGGGTTCCCAGTGCACTGAGAGCCACACAGACCTTCCACCACCCCTCGAGAGGACAGGAGGCATCGGAGACTCCCGCCCTCCATCCTTCCAGTAAGGGCAAATTGTCTCATTTATTTATTAAATTGCAATTCCTGCCTGTTTGTTTCTCCTGCTGCTGCAGTTGTTGTTGCTGTAAAAATAACAACTCGAGGCATTGAAAGGGAAATGGAAATAAACATCCAAAATACCTCATTTTCAAAGCCATTGTGGAAGAGTTAAGCGGCGAGGGAGCCCAAAATGCTTTCTGTGGTGGATGGATGACAACTTATTAGGGTGTTTGTGTGTAATTATGGAGTGTGCAGAGCCAGCAGAACGCTGCTATCAGGAGGAAAAAATTTCCATGAGGAATAATGCCTCCTCCATGGTCCAGCCAGAGGCTGCCAGAGCTCTGTGTGTGGCCAGACTGGGAATCATCTGCTTTAGTGGGAGCTTTGTTATTTCCTGTTCCCTGTGTCCATCCAATGGGTGTCCTGAAAATACCTTCATTTTCAGGGAGGGCCCTGGAATTTAGGCAGGATTTAAAGCTGGTTCTAACTGAGATCTCAGCCTGTGTTTGGAGAAGGAAACGTGGCCTTGATTTGCCTGGTTGTTTCCACTGATATCTGGGCTCACTATTCCCTGGGAGAGCCCTTAGTGTTGTGTGTGAGTGTTTTTACAGATAAAAGCCTTCTAGAGGGGACGAGAAATCCTGGGAAATACCTGACAGCGTGTCTTGCAAGGGCTGTGCTGCCCTCCTGTGTTCAGGAATTGCCTGGGAGAGGCCTCTGCCAGTGCATGTGACCAGAAAATAGAACCAGTTCTTTGTCTTTCCAACCTAAACCTGCATGGAATAGCTCTGAGATCAACCTTTATTTAAAAACAAACAAACAAACAAACCACCCTGGAAGTCAGACACTCTCTCCCTACCCCTTGTTTCTTTCTTGTTTTCTTTCTTAAAGTGCATTAGGGAATCTGGCTTGTGGGGAGATCTTGTGGGCTAAAACTTGTTCTGCCTTAATGCCTTTTTAGGTTCTTCTCTTCACAGCTGAACATCTCAACATGTTACAGTGGTTTTTGCTGTTGTGTTTTATGAAATAATGGCCTAAGTTTATGTCCATAACTTGGGGCAGAGTATCTCAGCCATTCTGCATGAGGCCCTAAATTCTGTTTCACTGGTAGAATTTAATTTTAAAACACACCCATTCCAAGTTTAAAGATTCCAAGTGATAAAGAATCCACTGGGTTTTGAAATTGTTTGTTTCTCTTGGGTAAACTTGAGCTGCTCAAGTCTTTTTAATTGTAAAGCCTGGCTACCAGAACCTGAATCCTGACTGTTGTCCTCCAGAAATTTTGGAAAATGATGTTTCTTGGGATTTTGCTGTGGTGATTCTGCACTAAGTGTGGTTTACCTCCTTGATTCCTAAATCCCTGAGATTTTTTTTTTTTAATGCTATTTGAGCTGCCAGAGATGTGTCATCTCCTGCCTTCCTCCTTCAGTGTTGATTGGGGCCTTATTTATTAAAGAAGCACCAGCTGTGAGTTCCTTTTGCACCCTTTGTTAGGGAATAAACCACCTTTTGTGGGCGGGTTTAGCCCAGGAAGCGATTCGGGAGTGGGAATTACGAGTGGAGTCAGCAGATGGTGCTGCTGGGATGTCCAAGAGCCTCAAGAGGGTGACCTGAGGGATCTGCCACCCCCTCTCCCCCTTTTCAGCCAAACCAAAAGTGCAAACATAAGGTGTGACAAGCGCTGAAAGGCAGCCTGGCGTTTTGGCAGGGCTTCAGATGTGCAGGCAAAGGTTTTCTCCCACCACAACCTCGATTTCCTAACTTCTGTGGTGGGCACATTTATTTCCTTCCTGCCCAGAAAGTGTGTGGGTGTGCAGGAGGCACAAAGGCTTCTTAAATATAACATTCCATAGTCCTGCTTACACACAACCAGTTCTGGGTCCAGGGGCTGGCTGGTTGGATTGCTGGGGGTTTAATTCCCTGTGTAAAACGCTCAGGGCAGTGTTCTCCAGCCTCGGGGAGTTCTAGGAGTGATGAATTAGTGACTCCCATGCTTAGGAATTCCCAGAGAAGCTGTAGCTGCCCCATCCCTGGAAGTGTCCAAGGCCAGGTTGGACAGGGCTTGGAGCAACCTGTGCTGGTGGAAGGTGTCCCAGCCCATGGCAGGGGGTGGAACGGGATGAGCTTTTTAGCACAGAGCATTCTGTGCTTCTACACACTTAATTATTTTCAGCTCTGCTGTGACTTGCAGGACTTCAACCTTCAAGGTCAGTGCTCTACATTAAAAGTGGCCAGTGAGCTGCAGGAGCTTCTGCCCTGTGGTTGGGAGCTCAGCACGTGCCAGAACGATCCCTCCCCTTGGCCCATCAGTCCCTCTCTCCCTCCTGTGGAAATGTCAGGCAGGAGCCTTGGGGCAGCTTCTCCCACGTCACGGAGATGTGCAGATGCTCGTGCAGGCAGCACTGTGTGTCCCAGGGCGTTTGAAAATAACCCTTCCACTGTTGGAGTGACACTTGCACTGTTTGAAAACAGCACCGTGTGTCCCGGGGCGTGGATGTGGAATTGTTGTTTTCACCCCCCAGGTGGTTTTGGGGTGGGCAGAGCCAGGCTGGGTGGGGGGTGGGTGGTGCAGAACAGTTTTCTGGCTTCCAAACCAACTGTTTTTGCTGAAACAGAAGAACGAAGGGATGACTTTGGTGTTTGTTCCTCTCTGTTCTGTGACAGCCCCAACGCTGCCAGCAGCAGGGATGGCCTGGACAATGACACAGGGACAGAGTCAGTCATCAGCCACCGGCGGGACAGGCACCGGCGGAGGAACAGGGAAGGGCACGAGGATGGTGAGTCCTGGCTCAATTCCGACCCCTTCCCTTCCTTTTTTTTTCATTCAGAAAGAACAATTTTCCTGACAGTCTTTCAGAGCAGCAGTTGCTTTTGCCTTGAATGCTGCCCAGGAGACTTGTGTCTGCGTTCCTGTGTGCTCTCAGGGACTGTGATTATTTTAATGGAATAATTTGATAATTGCTTTGAAACTCTTTGAAGCTCAGCGTTTTCCGAGAGGTCTGGACAACCTACAGTAAAGTGGCAGAGAGATTATTTTTGACAACATTCAGAGCTTTCTGTAGCATTAGGAGATGAGTGGCTTGGAGAGGACTAACTGTTGGTTTCTCAAGGCTCAGATCAGCCATGGTGTTTTATGCTGATGTAACATTGGCCCTGGAGATCTTTTTTTTAAATATCTAAATACACCCAAAGTACACAAATAAACTGCAGAATTCCATCTCATGCCTCTAGTCTGTACATCAAAGTAAGCCTGGTTTTTTTCATTCGTTGCCAGACAAGAATTTCCAGGCTTAATTAAGAATTAATAGGTGCCACCCATTGAGTTTAAAATGGTCCAGAATCTGCAATACTTGAACCTTCTTCTACCTGAAGCAGGTGACTTTGGTTAACATGCACAAAACAGTGGTAACTGCTGTATCTTCAAAATATCTTGTTTAATTTCCATCGTGTTTCTGTGGTCATAACAGTATTTTATTTGTCACTAATGACATACAATACATACAATAACACACCAGTTTGTTGTTTTCAGTGGAAAGCATCCCTAAAGTGCACAGTTGAGCACTGTGTCCTGAATGGCCACTTGAAAATACTAAAAGAAGGGAAATACCCTAATTCTGGAGAGGATTTTAAGGCTTTTACATAACAGGGATTGTTCTTTTCTTGAGTCTTGGTGTCTTGTTTGTGTGGAGCGCAGTTGGATGTAAAATGGGGGAACAGTCCTGGGGAAAGGGGGGCAAGGATGGGGAAAGGGCAGCAGGGTGTGACAGCTGGATCACAGCTCTTCCAGGGGCAGCTCATTATGAAACAGTGGTAATTCCTCCTTTCCCTGCAGAAAGAAGGGAATGCAGTGAGAGTGTTTGATCTGGTCCTGCAGGGACTCGTTTGAATAATACCAAAATTACAGCTCTGGTAGTTTTGGAGGGGCAGGACGAGGGATCTCCTTGGAGCCCTGCATTACTCACAGGTTTGTTCCAGAGGTGTTATTGCAGAGACACGGGGAGGGCCCTGCCCAATAACCTGACCACGGAGTGTTTGTGACTGTTGGGTGAAGTGTCAATGTTTGAGCTCACTCAATGTTTGTTGGTGTGAAGGACAGAAGAATTACCTGCAGTGAGGGTTTCCCTGGGTACTCTGCAAAGGGAGAGGAGCACTCGATCCTCAGGAAAACATGAGCAGTGTGTTACAGCCTTCACTTCAACCTGGTGAAGTGAGAGAAGGTGCTAATGAGCCGTTTGGGAGCTGTGGAGGTGTAGACACATTGAGGCTGAGCCCACTGATCCCAGAGGCTCAGCTGAACCGAGCATCTTCTTCTGACCTGGAACAACCCCAGGGCTGGGAAGAGAAGGGAAGCAAAACGAAGCTTTTCTGTCCTACTTTCCGTTGTAATTCGCAAAAATTATTTCCTAATTTTATTGAAAAGCTCTGCCAGCTCTCAGTCTGACAGTCTGGGCTTGACCTGCAGCTGGGCTCTTGCAGAGGCTTTCGGGTTTGCCTTGGAGCCTGGGTGATGGGAAGTTAACCAGGTGGTAATTAAAAGTGTGGTATCATGGGTGGGTTGTTCACCAAACCAGCCTGTATGTTTTCCTTCGTTGTTGCAGGATTACTCATCTCAGAAAAGCTATTTCTGCTGAATTGCTGCTGGGCAGTTACAGACACACAAAGAGAGAGAGAGAGGCCATCATAAATATTGATGGCCCTGGAAGATGTGGACACACCTGGTGATCTGACAACGTTTTCACACCTCTTCCCATTGAAAATGCAAAAAGGATTTTGCAGCAGGAGGGGCTGTGATTTGCTAGACCAGGGATCCACTCAGATAACAACACAGGCTTGGGGCATTTGTAAACTCTTCCACCCATTTCCTTTAAAAGATGCTCCTCTTTTTAAGTGCAGAGGCAATGAATGCTTGTGTCTTCTCCTGTGCTTGAATATTCTCTGATTCCCAAGTGATACCCACAAGGTGGTGGCTTGAGGAACACAATAAACCTCTTCTGTTAATCCACGTGCTTCTGGAGGTTTGTGACACTGCAGATACGAACTGAGGAAATCTTTCAGGAAAGCTGGTCTGGAAAAGAAACCAGCATGCCAGGGCTCTGCTTTGTCTCTTCAAGCAACAAAAAAAGTTGCTTTGGAAAGCTGACAAAGTCCTATTAAGTGAAAGTAGAGTGAGGATCTTAATTAGGGACGTGGGAGGTCTGCCTGGCACATGTTCTGGGGACCCCTCGCTGGGCAGAACAAAGCTCCGGTGTCAGTCTGCTCAGTGGACGAGTGGGAAAGGGGCCTATGGAAGCTCTAATTAGGGAGGTAATTAAGGGACAAGTTTCCTTTGGCGTTGAGGGATGTTTTGGAGCTCCTGCTCGGTCCCTGACAGGTCTGCAGATGTCAAGTGTCGACGCTGGTGTTTCGACACCCAGCTCGCCGTGGGGTGAACTGAACTGTTGTGCAGCCAGCTGAAAAATGCCACATAATGGCCTGTGCCTTGAGAAGCTCTTCATGTGGGCTGGCTTGTAGAGCCCCAAACGTTTGGGAAGAGGAGCTGTTGCAGCTTTCCACTCAGTGCTGCAATATATGGATTTTTTTACCACAGGGGGTGCCGAGGAATCTGAAGAAGGGCTGGAACTGGAGAACAGTTGCAGTGGGAACTTGAAGCCTGTCTTTGGTGGAGTGATTAGAGGCTGTTTGAGGGTTCCAAAGAACTTCAAACACAAGGCAAAGCAGGATGCAGGGCTAGAGCTTGGCCATGGGTGCAGGCATAAAGCAGGAGTGGACAATCTCATGATTCTCCCCTACTTGCATAGCAGGGAAGAGCCCTGCACCCAGAGGAGTTATGAGTCTTTATTGAGAAACTGGGAACATATTTCTGTTAATAACTGGTAAAGACTTCCTGCACTGGAAGGGATTGGGAGGGCAGTTGTTTTTCCTCTTAACTGGGAGCTTGGATGTGCCTTCTCCCTGAGACACCCTTGTTCTCTGCAGTATCACAGAACCCTCTCTACACCTTCCTTGAGCAGATGCTGCTCTTCCCTTTCTGCTTTCGAGGCTGCTTTGATTTGGTCTTTGATGTGCTTCTGTCCCTCAGGCAGGGCCTACTCTGCTGCTGATAAAAGTCAAGGAGGACATATTTTACCCTCCCAGGCTATGCTTTATTGTCATCTCTGTGAGACACTCAAAGGCTTTTGTCAGATGGGCCCAGTGAACTCTTGTCATTCCTCCAAGGAAGAAACAGGGGCAGGGGGTCAGCAGGGCAGAAAGTCCCTGGTCATTAGTGGGACAGGCATTGAACCAGAGCAGGGAATGATTCTGGTTGGGACTTCCTTAAAACTTGGAGATAGGTGAGAGTATTTTGTGAATAAACTCCTTACACTGCTTTGTCAAAGTACTCACCCAGTTATGTTTCCCAACCTCCCCGCCCCCAAACTGTGCTGGCTAAAATTAGAAGATCTGGGAAAAGGGAATTTTGTTTGGGTGGAGAAATAAGGAAAACCTTTTTATTTGTTTAAATGCACACCTTAATGACACAGGACACCTTTCTCGTGAGTTCAAAGCTGCCTGGTGCTGTTTGTGGTGTACAAAACAGAGCTAAAATTGAAGTTTAAGTGGCTGATAAAATAATTTTTAGCTACTGGAGCAGTGCACAGGAGCTTTTCTGTAAGAGAATATCTAATTCAAACAGGAAATGTGAAGTTGAACCCATTTCTTTCTTTGCTGTTTGAAATATAACAGAGAAGATAGAGCTGGAAAAAGGGGAAAAATATAAACAGGAGGCATTAGTGGTATAGTGAGCACTTCTAATCTACATAAACCAGGTTGTTTTGGAATATCTAGAAATAAGGGTGGTTGTTTTAAGGTTTTCTGTGCTACCAGGCTCAGATTGTGTTACCTGCTGCTTTCCCAGGGGCTTTACCACTGACATCAACTTCTCGTGGCCTTTCTTATTGCTGTCTGATACCTTTACAGTAGTTGTTCATGCCTCCTCCTTCTGCCTCAATCCATTTGTGACTTGTCCACGAACTGAGCCACAGGCAGATGGAAAAGTGAGGGAAAAGGCTGGCAGGACAGTAGATTTGCCAGCTGTTGAACGGGATCAGCTTGGTTTTGGCATGAGGATCCTCTGCAGCTGCTCGCAGTGCCACTGCTTCCCTGCCTAATAACGCCCCCACCCCGTGTGATTTTTTGGCAGCCCCTCGGATCAATGGGCACTCAAAGCTGGACAGGCACCGTGAGCACCCCCCTGGCTACGACAGCTCCTCCACCATGATGAGCAGTGAGCTGGAGTCCAGCAGCTTCATCGACTCCGAGGACGACGACAACACGAGCAGGTGGGGCACTGCCACGGTCACTGCAGCTCTTTGCATCTCTCTCCAGGCTCTCCACTGTGGTTCTGGCCTTGATTTAGATCTTCTCCTTCCCCCTTTTCGTTCCTTTTTTGCCCTGGTGTGTACGATTTGAGCACTGCATGTGGCGCTCTGTGCCCTGGTCCAGCACACAAGGTGATGTTGGGTCAGAGGTTGGACTTGGTGATCTCAGAGGTCTTTTCCAGCCTTGTTGACTCATCAATAACATCCTGTTGTGTAGAATCTCTGCTCTAAGAGCCCAGCTCAGTCACAGGGTCACTCTCCAACATTGCTCCAATAAAGAGGAAAATTCTGCTCCTGCCCTTTCCTTTCAACAGCAAGAATGGTCACATTTGAAGATCAAAGCAGTGTGCAACTGCCTACCTATTTATAAAGGTGTGAATATTATAATAAAATACCTTCAGCTTAGGTTTTTAATAAGTGTGCACTTCACTAGAGCTGAATTATAAAGGAATTCCTGGGTAATTGCATAGTCTGAGACCTGAGAGCAGCACAGGAATTCATCAAAGTTAATGCTATTGCAAAGGCAGGCTGGGTTGCCATATATTTATGGCTTCTTCATTATTTCTGTCTTTCTGTGAGTTATTCCTCACTTCTTGAAAAATACCTCTCCATTTGGAGAGATCCTTGTAAATCTCTAAAGACATTTCCATAATATGTTTATAAAACATTGTTCCATAAAAGGTTTATAAGCCAATACATTTCTTGGATTTAAAATACTTAATTTTTAAGGGTGTAAAATGAATCAAAACAAATACTCTTTCCTTTCCTGGCAGCATTCTCTAAGCAATGTCTCTGGAGCTGTTGTGAGCTCTGAAAACCCATTACAGATTTCTGTGAATTGTCAGAGAACAAGACTGTAGATCTTTGGTGGTTCACAGAGATCTGCAGCCTAAAACAAATAAAGGTACAATGGGATATTCCTAAATTCTAGGTAGAATGCAAACAGCAAGAGCAGCTCCTGGAGATACTGAAGCACTTGCTGTGTTTACAAACACGATCAGCTTATGGAACTCAGTGGACCTGTTTGGTCTTGCAGTTGGTCAGGGCTTAAAGAGCTGCTGAAGGACAGCAGTTCCTCCAAATTCTGCTTAAAGGCCATGTGCTGAAGGGGTAACTAAATGATCATTGAAGATTTAGTGCTGTGTTAGTTTCAAGAATTTATTTTGCAGTTGCAGTGAAGTAGAAGGTGTCCCTGCTCGTGGAAGGGGGGTTGGAATTAAGGTCCTTTCCAACCCAAAACATTCCAGCATTCTCTGGTGAAGTTCCCAACACCTGAAGATACAAAAAAAATTGCTTTGTGCTTCACCTGGATGTTCATGTGCATAAAGGCTTGGCAAGATCAGCAGTTAACCTGAATGCACTCTCAGCCTCCCTAAAGCCTTTAGGGCTTCTAACCCTCCTTCCCTCCCTAAAAATGAAACCCACAAAAACAACAACAACAGCAACAAACCCTGCAGCTGATTTGGGGTTTCTGGTAAATAAATTAACCATTTCCATGGCAGCAAGCAGTGCAGTGGGGCAGGATTAGCACTGAAGCACTTCAGAGCAGACCCAGCAAAACCTTTTGTGTGTTCATAAAGTCGAACTTCCTGCGCCTGCCCCGAGAATAAAGAGATTCTTCGAAGCTGCAGCTCAGCCTTTCCCTCTCGAGGCTGGGGCAGGAGCTCTTGGCACAGGGAGCAGCTGCCAGGCCAGCTAGTCAGGAAGAACCACTCCATGGAATGCTCCAAGGTATGCTGTTGTGTTCCAGGGATGGTGTTCTCAGGCAGATGAGAGATTGCGCTGGCAGGGAGAAGTTTTTTCTTCCGAGGCGAGCGCAGGCAGAGAGCACGTCGAGAATGCTCCAGAGCTGCTGGAGGCAGCCCGGGCAGGAAGGGGGTAAGTTTGGGGAATAACAGCTCAGGGACTCTGCTGTCACAGCCTGCTTTGTGGAGGAGATTGTGCAGGGAGGAGGCCACACTGGGAGAAGAAATCAGATGTGAAGGATGTTGCTGTCTCGGAAGAGGTTGCAGGTTGAGGATGCTTTTCTAACTCTGTGTGTTTGGCACTGGGTTATTTTTATTTTGAACTTGGAGCAGTGCAGCAGAGCTGGGCAGTTCCCAGTCCAAGGAGAATCTGTTGCATTCAGTTAGAGAGAAGGAGTCATGTCTTCTTTTGGTGAATTGACTTGTTCACAGGCATTGCAGGGCAGCACAGAATGGCAGTGTGAGCACAATAATTCGTGTGCTTTCTTATCAAGGGATGGTATGATTGAGTGCTCGTGTTGTTTGCAGGTAGGAGTTTGCTGTAGAGAGCTCAGCGTGAACTTTACAGTAAAAGCCTTATTTTTGTTAAGCAAACAAAGGTCTAGGAGAGGTGACATCCGTAGGATTATTGTCAGCTGTGTGCAACTGGTGTTCTCAGTTCAGTGTAACTAAAATAATTCACTGCAGAAAATTGATGATGTTTATTTCTCATTTAAGAAATTAGCATTAGTTCCTTTTAAACTGGATGGATAAGCTGTGTTTAACAAATGTTGCCTTTTCCCCCTTCCTTTGGGGGATATAGATTGGTCAAATTATTATTATTATTATTATTATTATTATTATTATTTTAAAAAAAGTCTTCTGTGGGATTTATTAGCCTTTGTGTTAGAAGTGCAGTCAGGGATTTTTGGGCAGTAGTCAGTGCTGGAAATCATTTCTGAGGATACTTCAGAGAACAAAATATTTCCTCTCATTAGAATAGGTTTGAGCTGTTATTTAGCATCCTAAAATATGAAGGATTCAGCAAGGATACATTAAGGCTATTGGTTTTATAGAAATTGCAAGGGGAGATGGTGAAATGTGGCATGGCTACATGAAAATAGGTGTAAATATATTCCTGCAGTGCCTCATCAATTTTGTGCAGCTAATGGGAGAGACTCTTTCAGCTCCAGGAGTTAATTCCCTGAAATACTGTCTCGAACTAAACCTGAACTGGGGCTTTTTGAAGGAGCTGATTCCCATTTTTCCACTCTACTATTGGGTAGAATGGAAAAAAAAATACCATAAAAAGAAGAACTTCACTTTGCACATGTTATCATCGTCTGGTAACAGAAGTTCAGAGGGTTGCCAAAACCCTCTGATTTTGCTGGTTTAATTTAAAAGAAAATCCCCTTCTTAAAGAGCAGGTTCACTGAGAGCAACACACCTTTCCTTTGCTCAGATTCCCCTAAATTCTTGAGTGCTGGAAGGCTTTGGCTGAATCCTACTGGTGGGATATTCTGGGAGAGAAGAGGAGGAGAAAGAAATTGGGAGAAGAAATAGGAAAGGGGAGAATATTGGTAGTAAAATGCTTCTGTGTCAGTCTTTGCTGGTGCTGTCGAGAGAGTGGGAAGTGTTGAACAAGTCCAGTTTTGGGAGCCCTGAGAGAGACCTCCTTATTTTTCCTGTTGGAAAGGTGAAGCCTCCCAAACCCAGGTGCTTTGAGCTCTTCCCACAGACGGAGAATTATCGAATTTCTCATCTCTTTTTGCAAATCCCAACCTCTTGGCTCTTGAACTCGCCTTGCTGGCAGGGGGGAAAAGGAGTGTGTGAGGTTAACATGCCTGAAATAGTTTTGTGAACCCAAAGGGAACGTCAGGAGATTCACACCCTCCGAGCAGCTCCAGCATCTGTAATGCTCAGCTTGGTGTCCTTAGTGAGGACAGTCCATGCACGGTGGGTTTCCTGAGCTGGGCTGGAATCTCATGACACCAAGCTCCTGGTATTGAGTCTTCCTTGAGGTATTCTCACATTCCTGCATGTGGCTGGAACTGGGAGAGACTGGGGAAGGAGCCTGGCACTGTTTGTTTTGTGACAGTGCCAGTTCGGTTCCTTGCCTTGTGCAGGGCTGGATTTTTTAATCTTGGTTAATGATGGAGCATTACTTTTTTTCCCCCCCTCATTCTTAACTTAATAAATAGAGGGGAGATGTCTCTGTGGTGTTATAGTGGTATCTGAGAAATCTAGGCTTTGTTCCAGGCTCCTGAAATTAATTTGGGCAAATCCATTTATGTCTCTCTGAGTCTCATTCCGCTCTCTGTAAATTGAGGATGATTAAAGCTCTGAACTATTAGAGGGATCTTAAGAATTTCTGTGGAGAATGTGGCACATGTAGGTTCTACAAGTTTGAAGAGCCTGAAAAAAACCCCACAACAAGGTAAAACTAACAGAATATGTGAAGGTAAATCATATTCACTGCTGCTCTGTCACTATTTGGTGTTACCGGTTGCTGTTTTATTTCACTGAGTTCAAACCTTAACTTTAAGTTCCTCTTAACAGTGGAAGACAATGCAGCACCAGGACAAGACTCACAAAAATTGGCATGAAGGGTTGCACTCTGACTTGCTCCCAAAAGAAAGGAAGCCACTAAATTATCCTCTGATCCCTGCTGGAGTTTGGCTGGAATCTTCTCCGTGCTCTCGCAAACCGGCTGATGGTGCCGGCAGGATTTACTCCCTCCTGCGTTTGGAATCATCCTGGGGGTTTTTTTTTCTGGCAGGGAAATGCAGATGGCTCAGCTGTGCAGAGGTGACATCTCTGCTCTCCTTTCCCCTCAGGTTGAGTAGCTCCACGGAGCAGAGCACCTCATCCCGGCTCATCCGCAAGCACAAACGCAGGAGGAGGAAACAAAGGATGCGGCAGATTGACAGGGTAAGGTTGGCACCATCCTTCTCCAGGGAGGTGAACCGTGATTCCTGAGCGTAGCTCATGGCTTAGGAAGGGATCCAGAGCAGGTCTGTGCCTGTTGAATTCTTTGGAAAGGCTCCCTTTGGCTCCAGTCTGGGTAAATCTCTGCATTTGAAGTTCTGTAGCACCACAGTCAAGTTTTTCTCCTCTCCTTTTCTTCCTTTTGCTGGTCGGTGATGCCATTTCTTGTCTTTTCCAAGACCAGTCCCTGCAGGAGAAGGTCCATTATGCCACTGCCTGATGTGGGAAGGGGTGTCAGATGCCTGGTGTATAAATCACTGAGACCTGCACTGTGCTGGGAGGAGAAATCTAAATTTATAGGAAATCTGTACTCTTCCCTCTTACCCTTTCCTGTGCCAGTCCTGAGGCAGCAGGATGAGGATGGCCTAAATGACAGGCTCTTGGAATAACTGTTCTGTTCTCCCATAAATACCAGTCTTCACACATTAAAGAATGAGCTCACATACATTTTATCCCAAGAACTGGGGTAGTGTTTGAGAAGCACATTTGTATTTAGTTTTGGAGGCAGGGGAGTGTCTGTCCTCTCACTTCCTGGCAGATCATGTTGTTCACCCCTCTCTTCAGGGAGGGGCTGTGAATGCAATAATTCACACTGCACCAGGCCACTTTAGGATTTAAGTGCTTGCCTGTCAGTCACAGTCAGGAAGCAGAAAGGATTCAAGGTGAAGTTCAGCTGAGAAGCCTCAATATAGGAACGTGCTCTGTGTGTTTTGGGAACAAATCTTTGGGGAAGGTGCAGACTGTGTTCAGATTTCTTTCCCTTGCAGATTCCCTTAACAGTAGTTTCTTGATGCCTTCCAAATGGAAACCTCTTAATCAAATCCTGATGAGTTAATCCTCAGTAGTTCTTTTTATTGTCTAATTCTGAGCCGTTTAAAACCTTGAGAATTCTCTGTTGTCTTTTGCAGTCGTCTTCGTTCAGCAGCATCACTGATTCCACCATGTCCCTAAACATCATCACCGTCACACTCAACATGGGTAAGAGGATAAACCACGTTTTTTGTGATAAATTTCAAGTGATGGAGATGTGTTTTGTGGTGGTGTGGTAGCCTTTGGAGCCAGGAGAAAGTTCCTTGGTTTGAAAGGATGCCTGGTGGACTAAAGGGAATGGCAGCTGAGAGTTGCTGCTGTGTTGGCTATGCATGGATTCCTAGTCCACAACTGGATAGTTCTGAGCCATTTGCACAAGCAGATCACTGTTATTTCCTGGGAAAGGGCTGGAACTCCAGGATATGGGGTTAGTGGTGAGGTGTAGGGATGGTGAGGGGTCAGACATTGTCAGAAGCAAGGGTAGAAGGGAACTGGAGGTTTGTGTTTCTGCTGCTCCTGCGTTTCATTGTTTAATCAGACAGAAATGTGCAGGGCTGCCAATTAACTCAGCAGCTTTCAGTAGCACCAAACCCTTCCTGCCACTCTGATGTGTGGAACAGACATTGCTCAATGCTGATGGGGTGCCCAATTTCGAGGTGTAGACGTGTCCTTTCAGTCTTGCTGGTTTTTTTTTAATGTAACTTTTCATTATCCTGTATGAACAGATAATGTCTTTAGTAGTATTTCCCTGAAGGGGCCAGGCAGACACTGGCCACCAGGGCAACCTGAAATCATTGTAAGTCAAACCTGGCCCAGCTGATGTGTTGAGAGAGCTGATTTTTTCCAAGCTGAAGTAGCCTGGTGTTAACTCTTCGCTGTCATTCCAATCACTCTGTTTGCTTTTTTTTTTTTCCTCCCCACCCTCCACCTTCTTATCCAAACAGAAAAGTATAATTTCCTGGGAATCAGCATTGTGGGGCAGAGCAATGACCGGGGTGATGGTGGCATCTACATCGGCTCCATAATGAAGGGAGGAGCGGTGGCAGCGGACGGCCGGATCGAGCCGGGAGACATGCTCCTGCAGGTTGGTCCCAAAGCATCCCAAAATAACCTGCTGCTGGCTTCTGCAGGGCTGGCTCACTTCAGGCATCCCACCAGGCCCCCAGGCTCGTAGTGATCAGTTAACAGAATTCATTCTTACTCAGAGAAACGTGTCACACAGACTCTCTTTTTGAGAGTTCTTTGTGAGATGTGCTCTGAGGAACAACATTTCTGCAGCTGCTCAAAGGAATGGAAACAGTTACAAGGCAGATAAATTGGGGCACAAATAATTGAAATGTCTTTACCTTTGCTGTCCCAGAGCCTGACCTCTGCTTTCTGCACCGTTCCAGGTGAATGATGTCAATTTTGAGAACATGAGCAATGACGATGCAGTTCGGGTTCTACGGGAAATAGTCTCCAAACCAGGGTGAGCACATTACAAAACCTCCTGCTATTTACCCTCCATGTGCAGTTGTTGGAATGGGGCAAACCTCAGAGGAATCAGCATTTTGATCCCTACCAGGAACCAGCATGACTGATCCCAGCCCTGAACTTCTCGATGTGATGATGGATAGGTGAGACTGGTTTTCAATGCACCAGCCAAAACCAACACAAATTAGGAGCTGCCTGGTTTCAGCAGCACTATTTGTTTATGTGATGAGCATTTTAATATCTCCAGAGCTGATCACTCAACAGATTTCACCAATAGTACTCATCACCTGTGCAAAGCCAGAAGTATCCTGATACTGGTTCATACGGAAAATATTTCGACAAGCATCTCAAAAACATTCTCAGAATGTGCTTGACAACTGTTGGACAGGAATAAGTTTGTTTCGAGTAGTTCTTGTAGCAGTTCCAGCTCTGCAGGGAAGTTAAGAGTCATCCTTACCTGTTTTCTCTCTTCCTAGACCTATCAGCCTAACAGTAGCCAAATGCTGGGACCCTACTCCCAGGAGTTATTTCACCATCCCCAGGGGTGAGTACACATTTGGGCTCTTTGCTGGGTTCCTGTGGAGCGCTCAAGGTCTAGAATATTTTCACTTATTTTGGCATCTAGCAGATTGCCATTCCCCACAAGTTCAGTTCTTTTAAGTTTGGTTGTTCTGTTTGTTTACTCTTGGTTTGGGAGGCAGGGGTTTAAGTCCCTTTCTGAGATTCCAGTGCCCACAGAATTCCTGGGAGTTTTTCTTTTGATTCACATGGATTTGGATCAAGCTCTTAACCTTTTGGAGGGTATATCCTCATGATCTTGACCTTTTCATTTGATAGGAAGTTTGGAGGGTAAACATCCATAAGTGTTAAAAAGCCTCATTTTGTCACATGTTCACTTCCTGGAATTTAAACTGAGTATTTTTAACATTTGAGGCGAACAGCAAAGAGATACAAAATTAATACTGAAATACTTATTAATATATAATAGATAACATTAATATAATATTGAACTATATTTCTGTTAATAGATAATAAAGAAATGACCTCATTTTACAACTTGTGGCTTAGTAAACTTCTCACTAGCAATCTGTGCTCATGTGACAAACACAGCTCCCTCTTGGTAAAGGGCTGAGCTTGTGATGGTGAGACCAGTCTGAAGATGAGGATTGTGTTGTCCTCTGAAATTAAGGCAGTAGAAAATGATCTTGTTTTAGAGATCTTGTTTTAGCATTAAAACACAAGTTAAAACTCGTGGCTTAATAACAGGGCCACCTCCTGCTGGTGAGGGCTGAGCTCGTGAGGGTGAGCCCGGTCTGTTCCCAGCCTCAAGCTGAGGATGGCATTGCCCTTTGGAATGAATTCCACAGCCTGACACGGGCTGGGGGGGGAAAACCAGCCTGACCTAAAGCAAACCCCGTGGGCTTCTGAAGGTGTCAATGCCTGGTGTGACCCCCGTGTGTGTCTCTCTCTCCCCGTGTCCTGCAGCTGAGCCGGTGCGGCCGATCGACCCCGCGGCCTGGATCTCTCATACCACGGCCATGACGGGAGCGTACCCCCGTTACGGTATGAGCCCCTCCATGAGCATCACCACATCTACCAGCTCCTCACTAACAAGCTCAATTCCCGAGTCGGAAAGTAAGTCACCAGGGCAAGGGGGTGCCCGGGGCCGGCCGTGCCCGGCTGTGCCCCAACCCCGGCCACGAGCACGATGAGAGCGGCAGCCACCACACACAGCCCCCTGAAATGCCTTTCCTTACACTGGGGATTCCTGTGGGGAGCAGAAAAACCTTTATTTTTTTTTTCCACAGTTTTTGGTCAGGGTTCACCCTCAGGAAGGAGTAGCTTGTGGTCCCTTTCAAAAGGTTTTAAAGGTACAAAGTCGGGCCTCCAGCGTCACCCCCTCAGGGGAGTGGGAGAGCTCCCTCCTTGCACTGGGCTGTTTTTTGATAAATTTGAATAACTTCAGTAAATTTAAATGATTTTAATAAATTTAAATAGCTTTAGTAAATGTAATAATTTGCTAAGTTTTTAAATAAATTTAAACAGCTCGCTTCAGATAGACGTCACCGGTTAATAATGTTAGTGTGCCTTTTAGGAAATCTTCCCCTGATGTTCCCATGGCCCTTCTTTTGTACTTTTTTATACTCTTAGAATTTATAGAGCAAGGAAAAAACAAGTTTAGTGTCCTATGTGAAATTATTATGGTTAGAGCTCAACTTCCTTTCCTGGTTTTGTCTGTGGCAGTCTCTAAACTAATCATATCCAGATAACCAAGAACTGCCATGGTGCCTTATCTTGGAAGTATTTGTTTAAAGAATATTAACTCCTCCTTTCTTTTACTCAAAACAACACTTTGATGATGTTGAAGACCAACGTTGGTGTTGGTTATAAAATCTCTCAGGTTTTATAAGCTCATATTTCCTGGAATTACACCTCACCTTGCAATAAAAGGGAAGGGTTTTTCTGTAGGTGTGGTAGCTCAGTGCCTTTAGATATCAGGCAGCACCACTGAGGGGAAATACATTTGCAGCAGAAAGCAAGTGAACCTCTTCCCTGGTGGCTGCTTTGTCCTGAGGTGTGTTTTCAGCCTTACAGGTGCTACAGATTGCTGGAATCAAATGTATCTGCTGGTTGCTGTCAGAGTCTGTACTCAGCATTCCTCTTGATTCATGTATTCTGTGCCTTGATTACGGTGCTGTGATTGGGAAGTGGGGAAAAGCCACCCTCTCAATCATACTTGGAAAATAAAGGTGTTTGGGAGCAGAACCACATTTCTGGAGACAGCTTCTCATTTCTGTACTAGTGATTTAAATTGTTCCCTTTCTGGAGTGCAAGAAAATGTGGAGTACCCCCCCTGACCTTTATTGTGGCCTCCTGCTTTACACCCTTCCCTCAGCCCTGCCCTGGGAGCTGCCCCAAACAGGGCAGCAGCACCTCAGGGCCCCAGGCACAAAGAGCACCTCTGTGAACATCCCACAGTTCACTGAGTTCTCTCCAAAGTGGGAGCATTTTAGATGCCTCTTAGAATTTTCCTTATTTGCACAGCAACTAGAACTTAGAACTGATGACTGTTTGGCCAGTGTTGTTCTTTATATACAGGTCTCCAAGAAAATACAAATTATTGCTCCCCACATACTTTACTTGAATGTCAGTGTGTTGGGTTTTGTTGTGGTTTTTTTTTTTTTCCCCAAAAGAACATGTTGCTTTTTGCCACTAACCAAACTAACTTAAAGCAAAAGCAAAATGTGAGTGTTTATTCAGAGTTTGTAAGTATTGAAGCTGCATGCATAGCCTGGGGTATTTTCATGCATATTGGCAGTGCATGTGTGGAAAGCAGCATTTTCAGTTTTCATTGTTTCACGCTTGCTGTACCTCCTGTCAAAATTCTGGGTGGCTGGAAAAGGACAGAATTGGTTCCCTGGTGCTTTTGGAAGGTGGGTGAAACGGGGAGAAGGGAGGGGAGAGGAGGGTTTCTGGATTGCTGCTGGAAAAGGGTCCTGCTGCAAGCACAGACACACAGGTTCAACATGAAATTTTCTGGGGCTGGAAGATGGGACAGGGAGGAGGACTGGGTGCTGTATCCAAGAATAGTTGTCTTGTGTATGACAGGATAACTGAGTTCTGCACAGAACCCAGAAGTTAAAGAGCAAGCACAGAGTTCTGCGCTGATCCCTTGGGTGGGAAGGGCAAAGTGAAGTGGAAGGGGATGGTCCACAGGACTCCCTGGGTTTCCTTTCCTGCCAATCTCAATGTGGATTCCAGCCCTGACTGACCTGGAATGGGAAATCCAGACATGTGGGGACTCAGCATTTCAGTGACTAAACTGGTGGCACAGAGCACAAAATCTGAAGAATTGGTACAAATGCTGTAATTTATACCACGGGGTGAGGGTGCATTTGGGAACCTTTGTGTCTTTTTTTTCTGCGTCTGTCGGTAAAACTGTGTTCTTTGTTTCATCCAAATGGGGAGCTGAGAAGGTGTTTTCAGACTCAGTTCATTTCAAAGCAGCCTGTAACCTCTCTTCCTTTTAGAATTAGAAGAATCTCCCTTAACTGTGAAGAGTGACATGGCTACTATTGTCAAGGTTATGCAGCTCCCAGACTCAGGCCTTGAAATTCGGGACAGGATGTGGTTAAAAATCACCATCTCCAATGCAGTGATAGGTAAGCAGATCCCAGGAATGCTGGAGGAAAAAAAACCCAGTGACTTCATGGTAATAAATTCAAGAAACTACCTTTATATGAACTTTTTATTTTTCTGCCCATGACCTCTTAAATTGACTTGCTATTTATGAGCAGCTCTGAGTGGGACAGGAAATAATTAATCCCTCTTGTTTGAGCCTGGGCAGCCAAAACTGCTGCATGTTTCTCATGCCCACACAGAGCCTGGTTCTTAATCCTCAGTTTTATATCTCAGGTGTTCAGGTGGCTCTAGCAATCTGCCCAAGCTCAGTAGAGCAACAGTCCTTGGAATTCCAGTTCCAGCCTTAATAAAACACCTTAATTAGTTTTAAAATTGTCACAACTAGTCTGCCTATGGTCTGAGCTGTGCTAACACTTAGTCAGTCTAGACTGCAGTTACTTTTTGCTGAGAAAGGCATTGGAACACAGGTCTTTTGACAACCTGACTCTTGAGGAGGATGACTCTTCTAGTCACTTGTTGTTTGGAAATGCTGTGTAATTTTCATGGTAGAGTTGCACAATGTGTGTAAATGAAATTTTCTCTGTGTGTATTTGATGTCAGTGTTCATGGAGTGGATCAGTTGGGCTCAGACGATCCCGTGTGTCCCCTCTCCCTGTTGTCATTTCAGGAGCAGACGTGGTTGACTGGCTTTACACACACGTGGAAGGCTTCAAAGACCGGCGGGAGGCGAGGAAATACGCCAGCAGCATGTTGAAACACGGCTACCTCAGGCACACTGTGAACAAAATCACCTTCTCAGAGCAGTGCTACTACGTCTTTGGAGACCTCTGTGGCAGTAAGTCCCCCTCTGGGGAGGGCAGAGCTCTGTGTGTGTGTCCCTTGTGCTCACAGGACGTTTGTCCTCAGCATGAGGAAGAACTTTCCAGGGAGGGTGGCAGAGCACTGGAGCAGCTGCCCAGGGAGGGTGGGGAGTTGACAAGGTCAGAGGTTGGACTTGACGATCTCAGAGGTCTTTTCCAACCCAGCTGATTCTGTGATTTTGAGTCTCCCTCTCTGGAGACATTCCTGACCCACCTGGATGCGTTCCTGTCTCACCTGCTCCAGGTGACCCTGCCCTGGGCAGATCCCTGGGGAGGTCCCTTCCAGCCCTGGCTGTTCTGGGATTCAGTGAGTCCTGTGGGGTTTCACAAGTGGGTGTTGCAGAACAGGTCATTCATATCCTGAAGCTGTGGGACAAGTGGTCGATGCTTCCTGTTAGACCAGGAATTAGAACACTTAGAAGGGTGAACTCCTCAAGTAATGGCACTGAGGCTCAGGAAGGCAGGATTTACTTCTGCTGGTGCCACAGACCTGCCAGTCTGTAAAATTCTCCCCTGCCAGGTGAGAGCAGAGTCCTCACCCTTTCCCTCTTTTCCAGACCTGGCTGCACTGAACCTCAACAACGGTTCCAGCGGCGCCTCGGATCAGGACACCCTGGCTCCACTCCCACATCCTGCTGCTCCCTGGCCCTTAGGCCAAGGATACCCCTACCAGTATCCTCTGCCCCCTCCGTGTTTTCCACCAGCATACCAGGACCCAGGCTTTAGCTATGGCAGTGGCAGCGCAGGGAGCCAGCAAAGTGAAGGTAGGATGGTTAATCCGGGTGTTCTTTCCGTGCCTGTCATTATCCCGAACCATTTGCTTGCGTTCCTTCCTCCCTTCGTTCTGTCTGTGCCTGTCTTGTGGTTTTGTTTGCTACCTGCATGGGTTTTGTGCAACAGCACTTTAATCAGGGGTGTGTGTGTCTCTGGTGGAGTGGGCTTTCAGCTCTGTGTGGAAAAGGCCAGCCTGGTTTTATCCGAGTCAGGAATTGCCAGCACTGGGGCTGATAGTGCTGGAAATGAGGCCATTTCTTTGCTGGTGGAACAGGGATTAGAACAAGGTGCTCTTGGCTTTCACTTCCAATGCCCCAGTACAAAAGGAAAATCACGTTCTTGGCTTGTGTGAGACACACAAGAGGGAGGTGGCCAGCCAGAGGTTTACAGGGCTGAAACACTGCTCACAGGGAGGAGAGTCCCTTCTGTCATATGTGACAGGGAAAAAAAGAGAATACCGCATGGATTAAAGACCTGACCTCCTCCTTTCCTGCCCTAGCATAATTTTGTGATTCATTCTTAACCTTAGTAAACAAAAATGATGTATTTTTGGCTGTAAAGATATTATTTTTTAATTTCTTTTTTTTTAAAAAATCACTTCCAGAGTGAGTTTTGCTTTTGGAAATGCTGCCAGTAAAGAAAGGGTGAGGTTCCTCTTGTGTTTTTGCAGTGAGCATCCAGTAACTTGGATGTAACTTATCCCTGTTTACCACAGCCATTTGGATCTTACATTTGGAACAATGTTGGGTGTAATTTTTGGAAGCTGTGGGAATTTGTCCTGCTGCTGGGATAGGAAAGGAATGGTGTTTTATCCATGCTGTGTCCCCTGGTCGTAGAGAGCCTCACAAAAGGTGCCAAGGTGTTTGATTTTGAAAGGTTTCAACGCTTTCCTTGTTCTTCTTTTGGAAACTACACTTCTGTGTCGTTTCTTGGTTTGTAACTTGTTATTCCCTTGTTTTGTCCTGAGCAAGCATTAGACTGAAGGATTCCTAGAGGAATGGCTGACTCTAGGGGATTGGTAAGCTTCAAATGCCTCCATAACAAATCCACAGCATGACCATTTAGACTCTTGTGACCCAAATGTTTAGCTGTATTTTTTATTATTATTATATTATTATTATTATTATTATTTTGATTTTTGTTTCCTTTTTGATTGTCTTGGACGCTGTCTCAGTGCACGGCAGTGCAGTAGTGTGACATTGGCATATCAACCTGTGTGGCCCCTGTGTGATTGTTGCTGCAGCAGCTCAGAGGGGGTGGCACCACGTCCTTCACTGTCAGAACCAACAACAGAACACTGTAGTGGTGTATTTTGAAAAGAATCTCCCCATTAAAGCCAACAAATCTCAGGAATTTGGCCCTGGGTGCCAGTGTGCCCAGTGAGACCAAGGATGACAGAGAAGGCAAAGGAGTTTCTTTGGGAAAAGGTAGAAGGTACCAAAGCAGAGACAGTCACAGATTGAACCTCATTTGCTGGAGTCGAACCCCAAATCCTGCTCCTTCCTTCCGTTCCTGCTCCTCCTGGGTGGGTTCCAGCCGGGAGCTGCACTTCCAGCTGCTGCTGCTGCTTTCACTGTGCGAGCTCTGAGGTGTCTCCGTGTCCCTGTGCATGGCACAGCCTTGTCAGCTTCGTCCCACTGACCCTCACCGCCAAACCCCACGAGCCACCGCGGCTGCCGGTCCCACGCGGACCTGCCGGGAGCGGACCCCGAGCTAACTGCGCTTCTCTCTGCTTTTTTTTCCCCCCCCCGCCACCGTGGGGTGCAGGAAGCAAAAGCAGCGGCTCGAACCGGAGCACCAGCGAGAACAGCAGGCGAGCTGTGGGCAGGGAGAAGGACCGCAAGTCGGGGGGCAGTGGCAGCGAGTCGGAGCACACGGCGCGGAGCGGCGGCAGCACCGCGCGCCGGGACCGGCCCGCCAGCCAGCTCAGCCACCGCAGCCACGGCTCCGCCGCCCACAGCGACAGAAGCCACCACAGCCACCACTCCTACGGGGGGCCCCCGGGGGTGCCCCCGCTCTACAGCCTCCCCAAGCTGGGCTCCAAAGTCTACGGGACCAGCGGCCCGCCCGGAGGGCCCCCCGTGCGGGAACTGAGCGCGGTGCCCCCGGAGCTCACCGGGAGCCGCCAGTCCTTCCAGAAGGCCATGGGCAACCCTTGTGAGTTCTTCGTAGACATCATGTGAGAGGAAGTGCCTTCAGACTCTGCCTGGGGTGGCGGGTGGGTTGTTTGTTTTATTTTTTTTTGGGGGGTGGTTTGTTGTCGAACACTTAATGGAAGAGACTCGGCTGGTCTTGCATGTCACACCTTCCCGTTTGCAAAGTGTGTTGCAAAACAAAAAAAAAAAAAAAAAAAAACCAAGAAAAAACAAATAATCAAGAAAACGGAGCAAAAAATACAAAAAAAAAAAAAATCCCTCCGCAAAAAATGAACAAAAAAAAAAATCTCCTGGGATTGTTAAATATCAGCAAACCGATGGCATCTTTTCTTTATCCTTATTTTCCTCCCCCCCCCCTTCCCCTTCCTCTTGTTTTGGATTGTGAATGGCTGGTGTATATTCACATCTTGATGAGCTTTGGTCGTTGTGGCACCTACTTCGATGCAACTGGTGTATCTTTTTGGCTGATTCAAGGACTCTTATTTCACACGACTTCTCTAAATTCCCAATACTGCATAGGAGCACTTTTATTTTTCCCTGCTTTTTTCCCTCTTACAAGGATTAAAAAAAAAAAAACAACGACCCTTGGCTGGTATCTGTGATACTGCCTTGGAATGCTGTTTCTTGGATGCATCCACAGCACTGAGCAGACATTGCACCCACAGGTGTACAGACAGCACGTGCTTGGAAAGGAGCAGGATCAAACCAAGTGGAAAACAAAGTTGTGGCTACCTTCTGCTGACTAGGGAGTGTAAATCAACCTTTCTTTCTTTTTTTTTTGTTTGGTTTTTTTTTAGATATTATTCTATCAAGGGAGTGCTGGAGTCTTGCTGCTGTGTGTGCTCATTGTGCAGAGCTTGTCAAGTTATTTCTTTCAGTGTCACAATGGTGACTTTGTAGCTGCAGTCGGCCCCTGGGCATTCCATCACATCCCTGCTGACAGATGTGGCTCTTCCTCCTGGATGTGCACTTGCTTACACGGTGGAAAAGTGATTTCCACAGAAGCAGGACAGCTGCTGCCATGCAATTCTGTTAGGGTAGCTGCAGCTTTTCCCTTTTGAAGGGGATGTTCATCCCATTGCAGCAGAGGCGTAGCTAAATCCTGGCTCCCACTGGGACGTGGCTCTTCATTTTGATTTCCTTTTGGTCATCACCTGTTGTCCTGTCCTTCATTTCGGAGCAATACCTTTCTCTTCTTGTTGAAATAGAAACCTGGGGCTGTCTAATCCCACTTGCAGTGTTACCCAGGGGAATGCTCAGTGGGTAGCGTGAACATCCGAGGTGAGTGCCAGAAGAGAACATCCTTCTCAGGGTGGACACACAGTTCCATGTCCCTTTGTCACCCTGAGAAACGACTCTTCAGACACTTTGCATGTTGCCCATCCTGATAGATTTGTCACTTCTTTCCCTGTGTGCAAACACATCCCTTTGTCAGAGCCAGGGTGACGATTCCAGCCGAAGCTCCAAACGTCTGTGTTAACTGGAGACTCAAGTCTCTCCTTCAAAAGGGAACCAGGCATTTGGGCAACTCTGTGTCACTCAGACTAGGTACTCCCCTTACTGGCCTTCTAAACTAGTTTTCTTCACAAAAAACTCCCAAAAAGCTGCCTGATGTCTCTGAAAGCAGTGCTTTCATCATCCTCCATCCCATGGGCTGGCATGGATTGCCCCGTGGGTGATGGCTTCTCCAAAAGAGTGGCACTACTTAGAGCTTGACTGTGCAAACAGTACCTTTCTTTTCCTTTCCTCCTCCCAGTCCCACAGCAAAGATGCTTAACCTAACCTGGTAACCTATTCTGAAAGATTGACATTGAAAGCAATGAAGTAAATCAGGGTAAAATAATGGTGTAATTCTGCTATGTCTCCAGGAGACACTGTTAAGGAGTCTGTGACTTTACTGACAATCACTAGTGGTTCTACTTTTAAATTAATTTAAACTTTTCTGGTCTCTTATATATATATTGATTCTTCTGGCCCGCTCTGTCTTAAGGCAGAACTCGGAGGGCCGGAGGAAAAGACTCTCATTTTAATATTTCCTAAAGGGATTAAAGCTGGGGGGCTGAGCTTTTCACCCGTGGAAGAAACGTGTTTAATTTCCTTATGTCTTTCCAAGAGTTGCAGTTTACACACCTGCTGGGTTGTTTTTTTTGTTTGTTTTAATTTTATTTTATTTTTTTTTTTGGTCTCGTTGTTAATGCTGTCGGCAGAAACCGTTCTGTGTCTCGCTGGTCTTTTTGCTGCTATGTTGAAATGACTGTGTTATATAAACTCGTGTGTTTGTGGGTCACTCTGGAACGAGGCTGCAAATCCAGAACACAGGTGTGGGGGAGCATTAGTGTGCTGAGGAGTTCAGGCTGAAGCAGCTTCACCCACCCACGATGGGCACCCACCGCTCTGGGCGTGCTGGGTGCTGGGCCCTGAGGAAGCTGCTGCTTGCAGGGAGAGCAGGAGGGTGGCGATGCCCCTGTGTGGACAGTGCAATACGTGATGGCCACTGTGTGTAAAACAAACCCCTGATCCCCCCCCATCCCCTCCTTGTAGTGTCCAGTGGAATGAGTGGGAGGTCAGGCCTGATTCAATCTTTGCTAGATCCCGATTTTCAGCAGTGAACAAGAGGCAGGAGATCTCCCCAGATCCCATCCTTGGCTTTCAGTGCATGTGTCTCTCCACCAAGGGGGCCTTGGGACCTGCCTGTGCAAGGCTCTCCTGTGGGGCACAGCATTCCCTGCTGTGCCAGGTGGAAGGAAGTTTGGAGGCTGCAGTGCTGGCAGATCCATCTGTCTTCTCTCACCAGGGCCTCAGATTTACCCCTGATTTAATGTCAGTGGCTGGGCTCCAACTCCAGCGAGGGGTTTGCTGTGCAGGGCATTGGAATAACCTCAAAACAGGAGCCTTAAGTGGTTGACTTTATTTTTATTCTGGAAGTGAGACCCTGGGCTGAGCTTAATGCTCACACATCCCTGCCAGCGGATTTAACAGCAGCTTTGTCTGGAGGATCATGGAAAACGATGAGGAAACAGTTTGGGATGACATCTCCTCCCCAAAGAAGGCAGGGTCTGTAGGGGGAGTGTGTCCACCTGGTACATTAACTCTGAGGAATCTGTTTTTTTGGCAAATAAGTCTTAAAAGCACTGCTATTGTCTTTTATCTCCTGTTAGTAAATCTCCTTTTCCAAGGTAACAGTCCCCTGGACACTTTATCCAAAGGTTTATTGGATGGCAAGCAATGATGCACAGACATTGACTTTTGCTATTATTTTTGTTCTCTTCAAATGGGCAGTCCCCTCCTGAGACTTGACAGCTCATGAGTTGATGTAATTGTTTTTGGTTTTGCATTTAACTGGATTGTAATAAGATTGACTTAAAATTATTAATTCTAATCAGTGATTAGAAATACATGTAAAGAATTTTATGTACAGTAGAGGAACAAAGTTACATGATTTTAAATAATGAAAATCCAGACTATCACCTATCCTAGAATTGGTTCTACTCAAAGAGTGACCTCTTATTAGCATGGACTGCACTGTTCCTGTTAAATGTCTATTGCATAATTGAATTCTTTTTTGTAGATATTGTATTAAAACCCAAGTGTCTGTATAGTTAATATATAGCTGCTTATGTGTAAATGCTATTTTAAACACTAAAAAGCTTTTAATTTTATGTGATAACCTCGGTGTTATGTCTTCAGTTCTTTGCACTGTTGCATTTTATTCTTTATTCAAGGTTGATGAAATCCTGCTTCAATCTCCCTCTTATTTTTTTTTCCCCTCCATGTCACACTGAAGTTTTGTCCTCTCAAGAAGGTTGTTCAGGAGGTGCTGGTAGGCAGGTGGGAGTTCTGTGAGGGCTGGAGGAAAAACTGATCAGAATTTTGGACATGCTCTTGCAGCCTTCGGCTGCAGGGCCTGATGGGCCCCAGCTGACCCAGAGTGAGTTTGTCTGCAGGTGACTGGAGCTGGTTGAACAATCTGATCAGCTGCTTTTCCCTCCCTCCCTCTTCCCCTGAAAGAAAACTCAGTCTGTCATGGCTCTGGTTGTGATCAGAGTTGGCTTTCTGGCTGCTGCCAATAGGGGTAAATGGATCTTTTTTTCCTTTTCTATTTCTGGAATGATGATCAAAAGCTACTTAAGGCTTCTCTGCCATGGAATCACAGCCCTGGAGCAAGGAGAGTCTCAGGTGCAACAACATCTTCATGAAGACTTGCTGCAGGCTCCAGAAACAAGGACTCCAGGCCTCAGGTCAGAGTTTTGGTATTTTTAATCACACTGTTAAAGCGAGTGGGGAAAAGAAAAGATCTTGGTGATGTGAGTTTGGATTGACTTTGTACTGTTTGGCAGCAACGTGGAGGTTTTGGTGACCTCTGCGTGTTTTTTGGGATGCAGGAGCTTTGTGCCCTGGCTTGGGATGGTGTGATTTGCACCCTGCTCATTTCCATGTGCCTTGGCCTGATTTCCATGTCCTTTGCAAACATGTGTGAGCGAAACACAAATGAGTGAGCTGCAATTTGAATGGGTAATGCTCTCTTTATATCACTCACACAGCTGCTGTTACATATCAGAATGTTCTTTTTTATTTCTGTGTTGTTGGATATATTTGAAAATTCTTCTCAGGCTTGGGGAAGGATTCATGGCTTGATCTCTGGAGCAATTATTTAGTTAATTCGAAGGGGAAATCACCAGCAGTGTTTAGAGGGAAATGTTCTGGGTGAGGTTTCCTGCTCACACTGCCAGAGCTGAGAGAGAGATTCGTATAAAATATCACTACTGGAGGTTGGCTGATTAACTGAACCTGCTTTTGGCTCTTTGTGGGGGATGGAACAGGCCATTCCAGAGAGGATGGATCTGCTCCTCTGGCTTTAGCTGGCTGAACAGAGCCCTTTGCTTTCACAGCTGGACCTCCTGGTGCTTGTGCCTGGGGCCAGAGAGCGCTCATAAACAGAATTATCTCATTAAAATGCAGGCAGCCTTTACTGAGGAGCAGGTGACAGTGGGGCTGGTTTATTGCCTGTTTGCCGAGTCCTCCTCTGGCTCCTCTTGGATGGAATTCTGGAAACAGTCCACCGTGTTCATCTCGGGCTTGAACAAGATGATGTAGCATTTGGGGAGGTAGTAGGTGCCCAGGATGCCCAGGCTGATCATCAGGGTGGTGGCAACCTTAGAGACAGCCCTGAGGACTGTCCTCAGCGAGGCAAAGACAGCCACAAAGAAGATCCAGACGACGAAGTAGATGAGGGTGGCGAGGGTGATGCCCCTGGCCAGGTTGTACCTCTTGCCCAGCGTTTGCACCATGAAGGTGCCCAGGAAGCACACGAGGGCCAGGCAGCTGTTGTAGCCGTGCAGGAGGGCAAAGGCCCCCCAGGACCTGGTGTGGCACACCAGCAGCACCTCGGTGGGCAGGGATTTGTAGTCAGGGACCAGGTAGGCGGGGCCCAGGTGGAGGTGGCAGAGGCAGAGCAAGCCCTGGGTGAGCAGGCACGAGGCCACGAGGAGCCAGGACCTCCTGTGGGTCACCCAGCGCAGCAGGGAGGGGGCACGGCGGGGGAACTCCGTCACCAGGGTGATCTCCAGGGTCTTGATGAGGAAGGTGGAGAAGCAGCCGTTGAGGCACAGGGCGTAGACCACCCCCTGCACGGCGCAGAGGGTGCCACTGGGCCTCCCCACGTGCAGGCAGCAGCTGAGGCTCAGCAGAGCGAGGCACAGCAGGGCAAAGAGGGTCCTCTCGCCCCCGGCAGCCCGCACCAGGGGGGTCTGCAGGTTCCTCAGGAAGAGCAGAGCTGCCAGGCAGGTCAGCAGGACGGTGATGGACATCAGGGCCAGCAGGGCGATGGCGAGGGGCTCGTCCCAGAAGAGGAACCTCTCGCTGCGCTCGTAGCACCGCGTGCTCCGGGCGGGGGCCCACTGGTGCTGCGGGCAGGGGGAGCAGCTGGAGCTGTCTGCAAAGGAGCAGTGAGGGCATGATGACCACCCAGCCCTCGAGGAGGGATCAGGTAGCTGCTTTGCCCATGTCCCTGCCTCCAAAGCTTCTGATAGTTCACTCTTGTTTTTTTTTTTTTTTTCCCCCCACCCTCCTCCCCAGAGGACTCGCTTTTCTTGGCTCTTGTTTCCCTTCCCCAGAAAGCTTCCAGAAGATCCCAGGTTTTCATCATATGCCTCTCTCCCTCCCACCTGTGACCCCAGAATTTCATCATAGCCCTCTCTCCTAACCTCTTGAGGTAAAATACACACACGTTGTCCTGGTGCAATCCCTCTGGGCTCAGCAGAGGCAGGTCCCCAGGGAAGGGGTGTAGGGCAAGACTGGGCAAAACCCCCTGCACTTGGCAGTGCTTCATGGAGGAAGAGCACCCCACTGCTTGTTACCTCGACCAGCAGATAGACATAATACACTTAAAGCCTTCAGAGTTCTCAGACCTCACCTTCACTGCTCCAGAAGGTGTTTTCTGGGCAGTCTGTACAGTCATAGCAGCAGAGGTGGAATCCTTTTATCCTTCTGACTTGTCCTGGTTTGCAGTGCCTGAAGCACTCTGATGTGGGCTCCTGGCAAAGGGAGGAGTGAACATCAGCCAGGCACTTCCAGGAGAATTGTAGGACCAAAGGAATTGGAAGGAATTGGCTGGGCCATCTTTACCTTTTGATCTGGGGTGTGGAACTGGATCTGGGACTCATCGATGTGCAGGGTCTGTTCATAGTCACCTACAGGCAGGTTCGTAAGGCTGCCATTCTTCCAGGACCAGAATATGAGCTTGTAGCCAGTGTTTGTGCTGTGGGACTGATCAAACCTGAAGCTCTGGCCGTTCACCTCGAAGGGGAGAGTGTCCATGAATTGCAGCAGCTGAGGGGAGAATGGAAATTGGTGTTGGTGCAGCCGATGTTTGGAGGATGATAAGGCTGCAAGCCAATTTCTGGCTGAAATCAGTTGTCCCTCAACAAGGGCTGAGGTTGGGTTATGGCGAAAAGTGGCTGTTTGTGTGTGACCTTTACTCACCTGCCAGGATCTGATGGGTGCTTTGGGGCAGGCTTTGGGGGTGCAGCCCAGGGCTCTGTGCAGAGCATAGGCCACGCTGTACACAGCCACGTGCACAGGCTGCACCTGGATGATGCTCAGCAGGAAGGAGAGGTCCCCCAGGGAGATGTGGTCACACTCCTCGCAGTGCGTGCCCAGCACGTCGGTGTTCATGAGCCGGCTGAGTTCCCTGGACTCCTGGCAAAATTCATCCTGCTGAACAGAGGTAAAGAGGTCAGCAACGTACCTCTGGAAGCCAGGGACTGTGCCTGCTTTCATCACAAAGCCTAGGACTGTCCCAATGCTCTGAATGTTTGGGACAGAGGTAGGTATGTCAGACAGCATCCAGGCTTTGGTGCCGATCCAGACTTTCTTGCTCAGTCCCATCCTGATGCTTTGTTCCAGCAGGGCCTGGGCTGGCAGATTAAAGGCAAAAAGGACGATGATGTTGACTTTGGTCTTGTTAATTAAATTAATGGTGTCTTCCAGTTGTTTTTTGGCATTGGGCTCGGACAGGTCTGTAGGAATCAGCCCCTCGAAGGCAATGCAGATGTTGTTATTTCCAGCTGTGCTTAAGAAGAGTTCCTGGGCTCCCTGGCCATACTCATCATCACTTGCAATGGTGGCAATCCAGTTCCACCCAAACCTGTTCAGGAGCAGGACCACAGCCTCCACCAGGTTCTTGTCACTGGGGACAGTGCGGTAGAAGGACGGGTACAGCTGGGCATTGCTCAGCTTCTCACTGCTGGCTGCATAGCTCACCTGCAGGGAGGGAGGGACAGAGGGATGTCCAGGTCATTCTCCACCTTCTTTTCTTAGTGTTAGTGCACTAAACTTTCAAAAATGCTGGTCAGGATGGCGGGAAGAACTCATCCATCTTGGCTGCGTTTACTGCCACTTGTGTCCATCATCAGAGCACCAGCCCTTATCATTAATGACAGTGATAATTGGTTGCTTTCTACACAGGGTGACACCCCCTAAAGTTCAGTTATATCTTAGCTCAGGGCTAAATATCCCCGAGGATTAGAGCTCCCTGTTGTGGTAACTGAGTATGTAGTCATATTTTCTCGTGTGTAGTCAAGTATTTTAGTATTTTCTTGAGATCCTCCCAGTCTAAACTGGGAGGATCTCATGAAAATGCTAACTAAAATACTCCCAGTTTACACTGGGAGCTCTGTTATTCCCATTTTACATGGATCACAGTGGTCTGAGTTGTCCCTGTTCCCTCTGGGTGGTTAAACACCGTAGTGTCTCCATTCCAGAGGGAATTTGACTGCCCTACCCAAGATCCTTCGGGAAACCTGTGGGAGAGCAAAGACTGGAACTGCCCTTTAACAATCCATGTCCCCAGAGCTGATCCCTGACAAAAAGGAGGATTCCTGCTTCTCCAGAGAGGCTCTTTACCTGTGGGATCAAGAAGGAGCTGAACGGTTTGGCTGTCACCAGGCAGAGATCCGACTTGTGGGGCCCGATCACGGCGGTCACGCGGGGCTGGCAGTCGGTGGAGTTGCACAAAATCCCGATGCCTGTGGTGCCATTCCGGGTCAGGAACAGCAGGCTGGGCTGCAGGGCCACCAGGGGCTCGAAGCAGGTGTCGTACATGTCATAGCCCAGGGTCACCCCTGGGAGAAGGGAGGTGGAGTTGTTGATCTCATCGATGGCGAACTTCATCCCCAGAGCCCAGACCAGCCCGTCCAAGAACAACCTGCAGGAGGAGGAGGAGGAGGAGGCAGGAATTACACTTTGCTTCTTGTCTGTGGCCAAGCCAGGCAGTCAGAGCACCCCTGTACCCATTGGTAAATTTTCTAATGTGAGAGTTTGAGCACCTCTCAAATCGAATTAATCTTGTCTGCCAGCCAATACATCCTCGGAGCTTCCCAGGAGAAGGAATGGAGTATGGAGATAAGTTAAGTTTAGCCCTGAGGGTCAAGAGCTGCCCTCAGCTTTGTGTGCTTCACCCATGAAGCCAGAGATTCCCAAGGTGCCAGTTTCAGGAGAAATGTCCTTCCTCCTGGGATTTTCCTCCCACGTGCATCTCAGCACGCTGAGGACCCAGGACCTGTGAAGATGGAAGGATTTTGGCCCCTGCTTTTCTGGGCTTTGTTGCTTTGCCAAAGCAGGAGGCAGGACACCAACTTCTCCTCCTCCCAGAGAGCTGTGAGGAGCTTGTAAATGGGGCGAACCACCTCGGGGTGAGCGAGTAGGAAATGCTGATCATGTGTAACCCAGGGGATTTCCTTCCCTGCTTTGCCTTTTTGCCCAGTACTGAGTGTCCTTTTACCTCAAAAAAGGGCAGCAGCACCATCCCAATGTAGGATCTGCCTGTGGGAGAGCAGGGCACGGAGCCAAAGCATCACTGACAACCTTTGTGTGTTGGATTCGAGCGCTAAAAGGGTCGGCAGCATCAAAAACCACCAGAAGAACCACTTTCCTTTCTCCCCCCAGCTCTGGTTTCACCAGGGCTGGGGGGAGAAAGGAAAGTGGTTCTTCTGAGAAAGGAAAGCAGTTCTTCAACCTCCCACCCACCCACCAGCAGGGTGATTGCCTTTCCTTTCTCCCCCCAGCTCTGGTGAAGCCCAAAATCTCTCTTACCTCTCACACACCAGCAGGGTGGGCTCCGAGCGTGCCGTGAGGTTGACGGTGTCCTTCCCGAAGGGGAAGAGCCCTCCCAGGATGTAATCCCCGGGCCTGCTGAACTGAGCCGACAGGCAGGTGGGGCTCAGAGCTCCTGCACAGCCCAACCCCATGCACAGCAGCAGCTCGGGGACCATTTTTGGGTTGGTTTTGTTTGTTTGTTTAGGGGAGGAGAAAAGAAATCTCCGAGGGAAGAAGGGTAAGGTGGGGTATCCGAATCTCATGGCTTTAAGTAGAACTCGAGAGATGAAAAATATGGGGTGAGGATTTGTTTAGCAAAATGCATCGATTTAACTGCAGTAGTCAAATCTGCAGCAGCGCCCTCTGAGTGCTCTTGGTGGGAAACCACTGCCCTCCCATCCTGCTTTCCTGCCACCAAATTCTTTATCTCACCTCTGGAAATTGGGCTTCCCCTGGGATATAGGTGGTAAAAACACTCGGGTCCCCCACTCTAATTTTGGCAGTGGTAAGAGGTTAACACAGCAGTCATTTTTATTTATATATTTTCCATATTCAAGGTCACCCCATCACGGAGATAACCAGCTCTTCCTCGGGGCATCACAGGAATTTGCCTGGAGAAGGCCAGTCCTGGGTCACAAGGTTGGTGGTTGCTATTTTTTAGGAAGTTTTTACTGGCTGATCGGATTTTTTTTTCCTCACACTGAGCTATGATGTTGATCTCAGCTGAAAACCTTCAGGTTTAGGTCCAAGTTCCCAGCGTAGCAATTTAGGCTGGCTCGTGGCTTGCATTTCTTCTGTCAGGTTTGAATTTCAGAACACGGGATAGCTCTGAATGAAAAGTTCAATTTACTGCATATCATTGGTTTATTACATATTTATATATTATATAAAAATTTATTTATATATTACATATATTTATCTATTATATTATATAATATATATATATATAATCTAAAACTGATGCACCAAGTTGCCCCAAAGTGCTGCAATATTTTCCTTGAATGAGGAGAAGCAAATGCACTGCAGAGAGTTAAATAACACCATTACTTCAGGCAAGCAACAGTTGTAGCTGTGTTCTATAGGTATGTTTATACAGAGATATTTTTAAGGATACTTCCCCCATAATGGAATATTTAAGTGTTAGCTTTAAATATGTAACTTCTTTTAAAAAGCTCAACTTGATCTCCAGGTAAGTGAAAATGATTCTGCCAGTGAGAGAAGATCAGAGTAGATGACAGTGTAAGACATGGTCCTTCCAACCCCACAGTCCCAGAGCACATTCCCATAAAGGACACTGCTCAGAAGCACATTATTCACATAATTTTATGTGCAGTTAGTCCAGTCTCCAGGAGGTAACAGTGATTCCCTACATTATGCCCAAAAGGTACAATCAGAACATTGTGAGAACCCTCCTCCCCCAAATATTCCCATCACCCTGGACTAAACATGTAGTGCTTTCTCAGCTTTCCAGCAGCTCAGTAAATTCCATTTTGCATCCTTTGGCTGTTACAGTGATTTGCAGTAGGAGCCACGTAGTGATTTACAGTACAAGTCTGGATTTCTCCCCAGTCAGAGAAATCCTTTTTGTAGGCATTTAACACATTCATTAACAAAAAAGAAACAACCACCACGTGAGCACACAACATAGAAGCGTGGCTGGAACCCAGCTCAGGTGCAGGCTGTGCAGATTAAAAACTGATCCACATCCCAAGTGCAGAGAGCATGGATTTAATGGGCAGGGGAAGCGGCACAGAGGTGCTGCTGAGAGGGATCCACATCTTCCCCCCAGCTCCTTCAGCTCCAGGGGATGCAGGATTAGCAGCAGAGCTCAGGTGGGGGGGTGGGACCACACAGCCTTTACTCAGGGTTATATTCTCGAGGTTAAAGCACAACAGGGGGGCAAACCCCCCCTGTTTTGATAAAGCTGATAAACAGAAGTGGCCAGGGGAGCTCAGGTGGAGTGTAAATGTGTTCAGAACCCACCTCCTGTCACACAAGGCCACAGCTACTGGCGTTAAATGCACAGAAGCTGCTCAATGGCAGGGTTTGGCTTCAAAAAGAAACCACCTCCCCTCCCAGCCTGGCTGGAGAGCTGGAGGTGACTCCAGCAACAAAAAAAAAAGGAATCCCTTGAGCAGCTCACAGTGCTGTGAGTTCTCTTTTTAGCCTCGAGGTCCACACACACACTGACACAGGTATAAAATACAGGTCATACATGTATATACGTGCACCACACACACAGGGAAAAAAAAAAAAGGTACATCTTTTTCTGTCACAAAGTGAAGCACCCTGAATAGCTTGTCCAGCTCCCTGCTGGGAAGGGAAAGGAAGCCTTTGGGGAGCCCCCTCTGCCCCACACACACACTGACACAGACATAAAATACATGTATGATATGTATTTTACATGTATCACATAAATAGATATAAAAACCCCTGGTACGTGTTTCGTAAGGTGAGGCACCCAGAGCAGCTTGGCTGAGTGGGGGAAGGGAAGAGTGGAGGTGCAGAGAACCAGTTAAACCCCTGATTTTCCCCCCCCAGTCCTGCTGGGATGGGCCCTCCTCCTGTCAGGGCAGGTCCAGCAGGCTGTGCCGGGCGAAGAGCTCCTGGGTGATGCCGTAGACGCTCTGGATGTGGGGAATGGCCTCCCCCAGCATGTGCACGGCCTGCTCGGGGGGCCCCACGTTCATCACCTCCAGGAAGGCGTCGCGGGAGGGCAGGGCGCAGAAGGCGAGCGTGGCGGCCTTGCGGACCACCCAGGGGTGGTGCTGGGCCAGCGAGGCGTTGTAGGAGTCCGTGCAGATGGCGGCGGTGCGGGACTCCCTGTGCCCCGTGCGCAGCCCCTCCAGGAAGAGCTGCAGCCAGAGCAGGGCGCGGTGCAGCCGCAGCACCGTCCGGCACCCGGAGTCGGGGCGGCCCCGCAGCTCGCCCGGCCCCTGGGACAGCTCGAACTCCACCATGGACTGCAGCGATTCGTAGTGCCGGCCCTGCTCCCCGCGGCGGTGCCGCTCCATGATCTGCACCTTGGCCACGGCGTCCCTGGAGATGAAGCCGAAGACGGCGCCGAGGCTCTGCAGGAACCTGGGGGGGACCGTGGAATCAGAGAGCGGGTTGGGATGGAAGGGAGCTCAAGGAGCATCCAGTGCCACACCCACCTTCCACCAGCCCAGGCTGCTCCAAGCCCCGTCCAACCTGGCCTTGGGACACTCCCAGGGATCCAGGAGCAGCCACTCTGGGCAACCTGTGCCAGGAAGGAAGAATTCCCTCCCTATATCCCATCTATCCCTGCCCTCTGGCACTGGGAAGCCATTCCCTTATCCTGTCCTTCCATCCCTTGTTCCAAGTCCCTCTCCAGCTCTCCTGGAGCCCCTTTAGGCCCTGCAAGGGGCTCTCAGGTCTCCTTGAAAAAGAAAAGCCTTTTCTTCTCCAGGTGGACCCCCCAACTCTCCCAGCCTGGCTCCAGACAGAGGGGCTCCATCCCTGGGAGCATCTCCGGACTCGCATCCTCCTTATCCCGGAGGCCGCAGGGCTGCGCACAGATATCCATCCCCATAAACCATTTTATTTATTTTGTTTTTCCCGTGGGAGCTCCCTTCCTGCCCGAACACTCTAATTCTTTTCCGTTCCCATCTGCCTCAAGGAGCAGCCGACCCCACCTTGCGCTGTCACTCCCGAAGCTCCCGTGCGCGGGCGGGCACTCACCGGATGAGCCCCCACCAGCCGCTCAGGTAGGGCTCCAGCAGCACCTCCCGCCGCTCGGTCACGCAGCCCCGGAAGGCGTCCAGGACCTCCCTCAGGCTGAACGCGCCCGCGGCCGCCATCGCCCCGCGCCGCCTCCTCCTCCTCCTCCTCCTCCTCCTCCTCCTCCCGCACCCCCGGCGCGGCCAATCCGCGCGCGGTCCGACACCCGCCTCCGCCAGCGAGCCAATCAGCTCGCGGTGCGTCGCTGCGGCTCGCACAGCGAACCAATCAACGTCCGGTGCGTCACCGCGGCTCGGAGAGCGGACCAATCAACATCCCGTGCGTCACCGCGGCGCGGCCAATCCGCGCTGGGTGCGGCGCAGGGGCGCGGCCCGCCGGGGCGGTGTCGGCGCAGGCGCGGGGGGCGGTGTGAGGGCTGCGGGCCGGGAGCGCCGCGGCTGCGGGGCCGGGTGGGTTTCGTTGCTTTCTGCCTGACTTTGTGCGAGTTTTGTGCGGTTTTGTACGATTCTGGGTGTTTCTGTACGTGGGGGGGTTTGGTTTTGCGTGTTTCTGCGCGTGCTCGTCTTTGGTTTTGTGTGTTCGTGTGTCTCTGTGCGTGGGTTTGGTTATACGTGGGTTTTGCGTGTTTCTCCGTGCGTTTGTGTTCATTTTTTTGGTGTTTCCCTGGTTTTTGTTTCTCTGAGTGGGTTTGGTTGTATGTGGGTTTCGTGTGCTTCTCTGTGTGGTGTGTGTGTGTCTGGGTGTTTTTGTGTTTGATTCTGTGTATTTCTCTATGTATTTTGTGTGTTTCTGCGCGTGTTTTGTGAATTTCTCAGTGTGTTTTGTGAATTTCTCAGTGTGTTTTGTGTATTTCTCTGTGTGTTCTGTGTGTCTCTCTGTGTTTTTCCCACCTCGCAGCAATTGGGGGGTGTGGATATCAAACCCAGGCAGGGCCAACTTTCCATAACTTGTTCCTCAATCATCTGACTCCTTTCCTGCCTCTTTTCCCCTTCTCCAGGAAGAAGTTTCTGACCTCCACCCAAGCCTTGTGCCAGATTGTTTCCCCCTGTTGGAAATGGCTCCTGTAAAACCTGTGGGATCTTCCCTCCCCGTGCCCCGCTCTGAGCAGGGCCTGGAGTGACTCCCTTTGTGTGATTTGGGGTCTGGACTCTGCTGAGATGCCTGAGATCAAAGTCACCCCCTTGGGTAAGTCCAGTCCGAAATCTTCCTGAAACACAAACGCTGTGGAATTTGGGAATGAGGGTGAGGTGTGTGGGGTTGGCACTGGAAGCTGGCCCTGGTGGCACCTGCAATGTGGGGGACAGTTGTGGTTCTTGTCAGCTGCTTGTCAGTCACATTCTTGCCTTCTCACTGCTCTTTGAGCAAATAAGACTCTAAACAGTCATTACTCATTTATTAGAGGGTTAATTAACGTGTTGTGGTAAAGGCACTGTAGGGTTGGACAGTGGAGGTACAGCCTTAGTTCACTTACTGTGCTAAAGAGCCACAGGAAGCAAATCTTTCTCTTTTTTTTTTAAACTTTTTATATCTATTTTTATGGGTTGCCCAGAATTTTTTTCTGTGCTGAGAGAGAGCACAGGATGTGCTGGGCAGGAGAACTGCCTTACCCTGATGGATAATTTTTGGGCTTGGTGTGGACTTAATTAAAGCTTAATGAAGCTTCCACTGAGGGCAGAGCACCAGAGGGACCTGAGTTCCACGTTAATCCCTTCCAGATAAAGGATTATTTTGGCTTCACTTGAAACTGTAGCTGCACCTTGCAGGAAGTTTGTGCTAGACCTTTAACAGCTTCTCTTCTGAAAGGATTGTAAACGTTCCCAGAGATGTTTTTCCTGCCTTTTCCTTGTGTCCAGGGGCTGGGCAGGATGTGGGACGGAGCTGTATCCTCGTGTCCATCGCTGGGAAGAACGTGATGCTGGACTGTGGGATGCACATGGGCTACAACGATGATGTGAGTGCAGTGGGGAGCAGGGATGGGGTGAGGGGACGTGTCCTGGCCCTTCCCAGCAGGATTGTTCCACTCTGGTACCTTGCCTGGCTCATCTCATGTGACACAGGGGTGTGTGGATGGAATCATGGAATATCCTGTTCAGTGCCAGCCACCCTCTGGGGGAAGATTCTTCTCTAACCAAGGCCAGTTCCCTGGCAGCTCTTCCCTCCTTCCCCTCTGACTCCTTCTGCACATTCCCAGTGTTCCAGGTCCCTCCCTCTGCTGTTTTGTTGGGTCAGTGGTGCAGCATTGCCTGGCTCTGTGTCCTGATGGATTCCCTGTTTTTCCCTGTCTGCAGAGGCGCTTCCCTGACTTCTCCTACATCACCCAGAACGGGAGGCTGACTGACTTTCTGGACTGTGTGATCATCAGGTGAGGCAGCTCCTTCCCTGCCCCAGCCCCAGTGGGAGATGGGAATGCTTTGTCATGCTGCCCCTTGCAACCCAAACACGCTCCAAGTCCATCACTCATACTTTGACAAGTTCCTCCATGCCGTGCAGAGCTTTAAAAATCAGCAGCAGCAGGATGTGAGCACCAGCCAGGCTGAATTCCATGCAGCATCTCCCTTATTTTCTCTGGGGTTTTTTTGCAGCCACTTCCACTTGGACCATTGTGGGGCGTTGCCCTATTTCAGTGAGATGGTGGGTTACGATGGGCCCATCTACATGACCCACCCCACCAAGGCCATCTGCCCCATCCTCCTGGAGGACTACAGGAAGATAACCGTGGACAAGAAAGGGGAAACCAACTTCTTCACTTCCCAGATGATTAAAGACTGCATGAAGAAGGTGGTGGCTGTGCACCTTCACCAGACAGTGCAGGTAAAGGGGCATTGCTTTGTACTTCTGGATCGCACCAAGGGTTGCTGCAGAAGGCACAAAGAAGTTTTCTTTGGAAATGCTGGCACTAATGGAGTGTTTGCCTGGTGGGGCAGGTGGATGAGGAGCTGGAGATCAAGGCATACTATGCAGGCCATGTCCTTGGAGCTGCCATGTTCCAGATCAAGGTTGGATGTGAGTCAGTTGTGTACACTGTGAGTATGCACAGATTTACACACATTTGCCTCTTCTATATAGACATTATTTATAGATACTGATATATATATATATGTATATGCACAGCAGTATTTCTAGACCCCTACATCACCTCTTAATGGCCTGTCCTGTTGCTTTCATAATATTAATTCATTTCTCTTCTTCCATCAGGGTGATTATAACATGACACCAGACAGACACTTGGGGTGAGTATGACACATAAATATTTTTAAGGCTGTGCAGTGATGGGATTTCAGTGTTTGAACTGTTACTTCATGGTGTCTTCTCAATGTTTTCAGTTCCTAACAGAGTATGAGTCACAAGCTTTAACGCTAATTTTTCCTAGCATAGGTGAGAGATTTGTGGTATTCATGCTTCATATTTTAATGCATTTAAAACAGGTAATAGGCTGGATCAGTATTGCTTTTCAAGGTCTGTAGTGTCTGCTTTGAGCTGGATTGATTTAAAGGAGCTGTGCCTGCAGAGAGGGCTCCTGATGCTGCCCCAGAATTCCCAGTGACTTCGGCCAAGCCAAGGCACAGCCGTGCTCCTGTCTGCAGATGGAGGCAGTGATATCCACACCCCCACCCCTAGCTTTGAGACCTGCAGGTCATTAATGCCATCTCCTAATTGGCTTTGCCTCCAATCTCCCTTTCCCAGGGCTGCCTGGATCGATAAGTGCCGCCCGGACCTGCTGATCAGCGAGTCCACCTACGCCACCACCATCCGCGACTCCAAACGCTGCAGGGAGAGGGACTTCCTGAAGAAGGTCCACGAGACCGTGGAAAGAGGAGGGAAGGTACAGTGGCCACCTCCCCAAATAATGCCACAAGTGTTGCTCTCAACAGTTTGGTTTCCTGTTAACCCAGGAGAGAACAGAACCCCCCCTCAGTACGGGCACAGGCCAGGAACTGGGATAGTGGTAACTGTGACCCAAAACTCCTTTTTATGTGCTTTTCTTATGTATTCCTTTAGTTTTGTTTGTGTTGGGGTGGTTTTTTTTCTTGTGAGGCCCACCTTTCTGAGGTGAATTTAATGCTGTGTGGGTTTCACAGACGCCAAATCCCCTCTCTGTTGCAGGTTCTTATCCCGGTTTTTGCCCTTGGACGTGCCCAGGAACTTTGCATTTTACTGGAAACTTTCTGGTGAGTGCAGTCTCTCTGTTGCAGGTACCTTTTTGTCCTCCTCTGTGCCCCTGGCAGGTTTCTGGGATCCTTGGAAGCTTATGGACTCCCAGCCTGGATAGCTAGGATCCCGCTTTGGCCCTCACAGGTCTCTGGGACACTTCTTTCCACAGGGAAAGGATGAACCTGAAGGCTCCAATCTACTTCTCCACGGGCCTGACAGAGAAGGCCAACCATTATTACAAGCTCTTCATCACCTGGACTAATCAGAAAATCCGGAAAACCTTTGTGCAGAGGAACATGTTTGAGTTCAAACACATCAAAGCCTTCGACAGGGCCTTTGCAGACAACCCAGGGCCCATGGTAGGTGGGTGTTAGGGAGGGAACTGGGTTTATTTCTGACTGGTTTATTAGTTATAAAACCATTCAGAGTTTTCAGCAGACACTGCTCACAAACAGCAGTTTTCAGCTCATGTGAAAATTAGACAAGGTGGGGGAAAAAAATAAACCAGCAAAAATCCCCATTTGATGGAGTGTCTGTAATGGGGGGATACTCTGCACAGATTTAGAACATTTATGTATTATAAGTAATGGAAAAACCTGTTTTCTGTGATGATTCATGGCGTACCTTTGAATTCCAGGTGGTGTTTGCAACCCCCGGAATGCTCCACGCGGGGCAGTCCCTTCAGATCTTCAGGAAATGGGCAGGGAACGAAAAGAACATGGTAAGAAACTGTTTCCTTGGCTGATGCTTTCCGTTGAGGTGCCAGTGGCACCAAGGGCAGAGGCTGCAGGAGGGCATTTGCTGATGTTCCTGCTCTCCCTGCCAGGTGATCATGCCTGGGTACTGCGTGCAGGGCACGGTGGGCCACAAGATCCTCAGCGGGCAGCGCAAGCTGGAGATGGAGGGCAGACAAATTGTAAGTTGGATTTTTTCAAGCAGGAGGGAAAAGTCATCTGGGGGAAATTCTTCAAAGCTTAAGGTGGTGGTTACACACCATGGGCTGGTAGTGGGATTGTGCTGCACCCAACCCTGAAAATGCCTCAAAGTAACCTTTTTTTTTTCTGGATTTGGACTCATTTTTTTCCTCTTTGCCTTGGCAAGTGTGTTGTCTTGTGCTATAAAAACTTTTGGGGCACATTTATAACATTTAATAACAAAGCCCCATTAGTCAAATAGGTAAAAATATTACATTTTTAAGCAGATGTGGATAATGAAATGACACCAGCTGTCCTTAAGTATTGATTTGTTCTGGCAAATGTGTGTCAAGGATTCTCTGGAATCGGGAATTTGAGCCTGCAAGTGATTGAAAGCTTTTCTTTAAGGCAATTTAGGTGTTCTCCTTCCTCCTTAGAACTAACTAGAGAGGAGTCTGGATCTGTCTGTGTTATACAAGCTGCAGTGAGCCAAAACAATTCCCCAAATCCTGTGTTTTCTGCTCCTGCCCAGCTGGAGGTGAAGATGCAGGTGGAGTACATGTCCTTCAGCGCCCACGCAGATGCCAAGGGGATCATGCAGCTCATCCGCCAGGCTGAGCCTCGGAACGTGCTCCTGGTCCACGGGGAAGCCAAGAAAATGGAGTTCCTGAAGCAGAAGATAGAGCAGGAATTCCGTAGGTATCCCTGTGTGTGTTGGTGCTGAGCAGGGAGTGGCAGCAGAGCACTCAAGGTCATGTGTTTAATCCACTGGCCCTCGGCAGGGTTAGGTCTGATGGAATTTACAGATACCCTCCATCTTAATTAACATACTAACTAAGCAAAGTTAATTGTAACAACCCTTTGGACTCGAAGTGAAGCTGTTCTGTTGTGGTGCAGCATTTCCTGGTGCCACACTCCTGACAGGGGCTGCTCCCTTTGCAGATGTCAGCTGTTACATGCCTGCCAACGGGGAGACCACCACCATCTTCACCAACCCCAGCATCCCTGTGGACATCTCCCTGGGCCTCCTCAAGAGAGAAGCAGCAATAGGTGACTCTCCCAACCACCAATTCCCCCTTTCAGGCCCTGCCCCTGTGCTGGGTAGCACTGGCAGGAGGCAGAATGCTGCAAATACACATTTAATAATGTTTGTTTAAAAACAAATGCACGCACACACTGCCTGGTTTGCCCCTTCGTTGCTCGTTCACTGTGGTGACAAAAACTCACCTGTGCTTTTACCAGCCAGGTTTGGGAAAACTGGAGTTATTTTTATAAACTCAATTGAAAAAAAGAAATAATCTAAACCCCCTCAAACCAGGATGTGCTCTGGGAAGAAAGGCAGTTGTTCTGTGTTGTAAACTAGACATGGTTTCTTATGTGTCAGTTATTCTGATAATGGTTGAGCACCACAAATGCACTTAGCAAGAAAAAAAGGTGAAGAATTTTAGTGTCTGAACCTCATGAGGGCCTCAGAGGTCCAGCTATTGAGTCCTAGAGCAGCTGTTTAATGGGAAAATTCAGCACCTCATTGTTAACTTGTCTTTTCTTCCCCCTGGCCGTGGTTTAGGTCCTGTACCAGATGCCAAGAAGCCAAAGCTCATGCACGGCACGTTGCTCATGAAGGATAACGTGAGTAAAAGTGTCCTTCTGCTTGTCTTGTGTCCTCTGAGTGTGTTATAATTCACACACGAGCTCTGGGTGCACAAGGAGCCAAAATCAAGGTTAAGCAGGTCTGGTTTCTTACAAAGAAGGCGCCAGGGGAGGATTTCTTCCTCTGCGACCTCACGTTGTTTATATCCAAACATCATTTCCCCTGCTAAAGAGGATAAAACCAAACTTCCAGAGAGCCACTTTAATTTTGTTAAATGAAGGGCTGGTGTGATTATTTAGGTGGACATTTTGGACACCTGCCTTCCCCCTCCCTTTGCTGCCCTTCATCCCCTCATGCTCACAGCAGTGAGACGGGAAAGGTGACCAGTGTGATGAAGTGTGCTGAACACAGCCAGCTGCCCCCAGAGGAGCAGTGCCACTCCAGAAAGCTCCCAGCAGTGGATCTGAATGGATTTTATCCCTTTTCCCTGCAGAGTTTCAGGCTGGTTTCCCCCGAGCAGGCCCTGAAGGAGCTGGGCCTGGCGGAGCATCAGCTGCGCTTCACCTGCCGCGTCCACATCCAGGACCCGCGCAAGGAGCACGAGACGGTGCTTCGGGTCTACAACCACCTCAAGGGGTGAGGCCTTTCTTACCTCAGCTTTTTGTTTTTTTTTTCCCCACCCTCTAGGGATGCAGTTGAGTTTATCATTCCCAATCCAGGTAGCACAGGTTGCCCCCTCCTTGGAGCTGGCAACAGCAGAACCTGCTGGTGGATCCCTGAGCGGGGCTTTGCTCTGACGAGCAGGGCTCACACCGGGGGTAGAACTGTCATGAAGGCCAGAAATAAGTTCTGTAGGAAATGCTACATGATTAATACAAGCAGCAGAGTCACCAAGCTGTGGATTAGCCCTGTTCTCCCTTCCTTGGGAAGTGGGAGACTCCTTTGGAGGGAGTAGGTGCTGGCTCAGCCACAGGGAAAAGGAGTTAACAGCAGGCTGGGGTTTGGGATGAAGGTGCAGGGGTGACCCACTCTTCACCTGTGTGCATTTCCCTCCCAAATTAATCATCTTTTTTCTCTCTTCCCAGGGTCCTGAAGGATTATTCTGTGCAGCATCTCCCTGATGGCTCTATAACCGTGGAGTCCATCCTTATCCAGGCCACAGCACACTCAGAGGACCAGGGAACCAAAGTCCTGCTCGTGTCCTGGACTTACCAGGTAGGAACACACAAGGACTTTCTGCTCTTAACTCCTTTCAGTCCCAAACTGTCCTGGACTGGAGGTGGCTGGAAGTGTTGGGCCTTCCTCCCTCTGCTTTTGAAGGAGTTTGACTGGAGGATGAGCTGAGTTCCTGCCATTTTTTGGACCATTTTGGGTTTAGTACAAATGGCTTTCACAGGAGCTCTCTGGGACCACTGAGCTGGAGTAATTAGAGTTAATTACAGTTAATTACAATTCTGTCTGTGTTTGGAGGACACTGAGCTATATCCCTACTGCCATGCAGAGTGTGGCACAAGGTACTACTTGCTTGAAGCCTGTGTCTAATCTTAACACAGTTTTATTAGATCTTCATTACATTTTCTTCCTCTCAAAAGCACACTTTTCTCTGGCTGTATTACTAAATTCTTTCTTTAGAGCAAGGAAATGCCAGTTGAGGGCAAAGATGCCATCAATGGTTCTTTAGTCCTTTTGCTTTCCAGAAAAAAGATGCTTTTCCTCCAAAGAGACCCCTCAGGTCCAGCCACCTCCTTCGACAAACAGGAGTTTTACACCAATATTTTGAAATAATTCCATTTTTGGAATGTTCCATTTTTGAACATTAGATCCTGCAGGGTCCAAGAATTATTTCAGCCTCTTTCTGGGTACCACAGTTGAATTTACTGCCCCAGATGGGACACTCAGGTGGAAGATTTTTGCTTTCATCCCGTTTCTCTTTCTCCTCTGTAGGATGAAGAGCTGGGCAGTTATCTCACCTCCCTCCTGAAGAAAGGCCTGCCCCAGAGCACATCCTGAGGGCAGAGCAGAGCACAGGGCGTTACAGAGACTTAGATTTTATTTTGTTTACTTTGTCAATGTTTTTTTTTTCTGGTTTGTTTTAATAAAAGAATTACAGTGTTTGTCCAGTTACTGCAGTGCCAGTGCCTGCCTGTCACCAGCACTGTGATCTTCCCCCTTGGAAAGCCGGGCAGGGAGTTGGTACAGCCTGTTTTTAAACAGTCCTGAGGAACAAGCTCTGAGTTGCTTACACAGTAAAGCAAAAGTTACTCAGTGTTCTTCCCTCCCACAGCTCACTGCCCTTAAAAATCTCAGCAGTGCTGAGTGAAACAATTAAAATGCAGAGTAGGATGGAGGTAAAGGAATAAAGCCCTAAGTGTGCTGATTGCCAAGCAGCAAAACTCATTTTAATTCTCCCTCCTTCCCTCAGGGACAGCTGAGAAGCCTCCAGGAAAGCTGCTCTCCTGCATGGAGGCTCTAAAAACATTTTCCTTCCTTTTTGCAGAGCATAAAGATTGTGCTCAGCTGATAAGAGCCATTCCCCCCTCCCCTCCTCCAGTGCTGGGAGGATTTTCCAGAGTCTGGAAATGGGATAAAAATAGCAATGTCTCCTGGAAGGTGAAGGATTAATTGGTGCTAATTCTCCCTCTGAGCCTCCCTTGCCTCCCCAGTGCCAGGGTTTGCACGTGGCAGCCTGACAGTTTTGGGGTGGCCTGTGGGGAGGAGCAGAGCAGAGACTCTCTGCATCTCTTACCCCAAAAACCCTCATCCCTCTGAAGTAAACCTGGGTTGTCAGCCAGGGCCTGTGGTTTTTCTGGTGCCTCGGATCACCCACAGATGAAAAATCCTCTCCCCGGTCTCAGGGTGGAAAACTCAGCGGGTTCTCAGAAGCCACGTGGGTCTGTTAATGCAAGAAAAAGGGGGTGAGAAAGGTCAGGTGGTGTGTTTATATCACAAAATGTGGCTGAAAAAAAAGAGAGCTTCGACATTTGAAGGGGACTGCACCCTGCAAAGAGCTGTGGCAGGAAGTGCCCTCCAGCAGTGTGTGGAGAGAGGAGCTTGTTTACCACTGACTGATAAATACTGGGATCTGCTGCCTTCTAAACTTGCATTAATACACGTCCAGCTTGAATCCAGGAAAGCCTGTCCTGGAATACTCCTCAGGAAGCCAAGTAAGTGAGGATGAGAAGCCCCTATTTGGCTGTGGAATGTGGGCTGTGAACCCAGGGGAGAACACACCAGACCCCTCCAAAACAGGGAAAAACCACGCAGGGCTGCCTGAATCCACCTCTATCAATTAGGAGGCTGATTTCCTTCAAGTGGCCCTTTCCTGGGCTGTGCTGCTTCCCAAAAAAGAGCCCCGTGCTCTGCCAACCCCGAAGCTAAACAGAACGAGCCCAAAACATCACTGCACGTGAACACAGGAGGTTTCAGCACGTGCTGGGAAGGGCCTGTCCCAGGACACAGCTCCCCCAGGGGCTGTGCCAGTGGGCTGATCAAAATCCCCAGCTGGTGGGCACTTCCCTCCAGTGCCTTAACAGCCACCACACCAAAAAACCAGCAGGTTTTACAGCTTTGCTTGTGAAGAAACAGCTGGAAAGATCACCCCTGTACTTACCTGAGGCAAACCAGTTGACTCCGTCTCCGGGTTTTTGCTTCCACATCTCTGCCAGAGTTTATAATCACGGGAGGGCTCCCCAAAATTCCGGTCACAGATGGTGAACACCTTTTTAGACCTGAACCTGAGCCTGAAGCTGCAGTGGCAGTGCTTGCTGGAAGCACTGTAGTAGCAGAGGAGCGGGGTGAGGCAGCAGCTGAGGCTCACCAGGGCCAGGCTGACCCTCCTCATCCTGCAGATCAGGGCTGAGAATGACTCGTCCCGGATGACCTGGACCCTCACCAGGAAGCTCAGCAGGTGGGTGAGGTGGTGGGGGAGGAAGCACAGGGCGCAGATGGCCAGGGCGATGCAGACGGTGCCCAGGGCCCTCCTCCTGGACGCGCCGCGCTTGGCGCGCGAGATCCCTCCGGCCACGAGCGGCCACCCCACCAGGGCGAGGGAGAAGGGCACCCCACACCCCAGCACCACGGCCAGCACGTCGTGAGGGGCCGCCCGCCGGGCCCAGCTGCCCGCGGGGAAACCCTCGAAGCAGGTCGTGGTGTTGTTCCCCACGCCCCGGCTGAGGAGGGGACCCCTCAGGGCGAGCGGGACGGCGACACCGAGGGCCACCACCCACAGGGCCGCGGCCACCAGCACGCGGTGGGGGGCCCTGATGCGGATGTAGGTGAGGGGGTGCAGCACGGCCACGTAGCGGTCCACGCAGATGCAGGCCAGGAGGGCGGTGCTGAGGTGGATGTGGACGTGGAACAGGGTCCCCGCCACCCGGCGGGCGGCGGCCCCGAAGACCCAGCGGCTCCCGTGCAGGTGGGAGTGGATTTTGAGAGGCAGCACCCAGACAAACAGGGTGCCCAGCAGGGCCAGGTTGAGCAGGTAGATGGAGGAGTGGGACAGGTGCCTCACTCTGCAGGACAGCAGGTACAGGGCCAGGGTGTTTCCCACCAGCCCCAGCACGAAGGCGACGCCGTAGGCGACAGGGAACAAGGAATGCTGGAAATCTCCTTCCAGCCAGAGCTGCTCTGAGCTGCCGCTGGCAACTGTCTCGTTGGAGGCCCAGGAAACGCCTGCCATGGTCTCTGCTGGAGAGGAGGATACCCAAAACGAGGTGAGAGCCTCAATCCATCCCTCACCTCAGGAGGTCCCGGAGTTTTAGTTCATCTCGATGAGCCAGAGCTAAAGCTGCACCACAGATGTTCAGCCTGGCGAGGTCTGGGCTTCAGAGCTGCTCAGATGGAAAGCAGTGCCACTAGAAGGGAAAAAAGAAGTCATTTGAAACACCAGCATTTGAGTTTACGCAGTAAGACAGCATTTACTGGCATTGAAATCACCCCAAGGTGACGATAACAGAGGCAGCTGATGTTCCTGTACAAGGGGAATTCATGGAGGGTGAATTTACAGCATCCTAAACCTTCTCTGCAGGCAGAAAAGAAACCACCACTCCCCCTGTTACACAGGGAGCCTGAAGGACTGGTTTATATGTTTGGAATAATGCAAAGAGGCAGTGCACAAGCAGGACTCCTCACCCAGGTCACTCAGGCAATAAACTGCACTCCAGCAGTGCAGCTTCCACCAGAAATAAAAGAAACCTGAGTAAACCAAACACAGACACTTCAGTAGAGGCCCCTGAAAAAGCTGATCTTGAGAAACAAAACTCAGCCACCAATTGCAAAAGGCACAAAACTATGAAGGCTGCTGGGTACTTTCCAAAGGAAACTCTGAGTTCACACTTCCTTCCCCCCCCCACAGTTGTTTTTCTGACAAGGGCAAACCCACCAGAGGTAAGTGGAACACGAGAAAGGAAATAAAAAAAGCAGGCCAGGTTTGCTTACACAGGTCTGGCACCTCACAGCAGAGGGTCTGTAAACACAGGGGGGGAATTTATACCAAACCAGGCCTGACTTTAGGACTGGAAATGACCTTTATCTCAGAGTTTGGGAGAGCAAGAGCCACTGAACACCCACCTTGGGCAGGTTCAAAGTGTAGTGTTTGCAGGGAATCCACTCCTGAACTGCTGCCTGGGTAGCTGAGCCTGAGCTGCTCAGTCACTGCAAGGTTTTTATGGCAACCAGAAGTTGGGAAACACCTGCAGAAACCTCACTGACAGGTATTTTTGCACTGTGATGTTAAAATTTGGCCTGGTTAACACTCAAACAGTGTCAGTATTTAGTGGTTTTATGCCCTGTAAAGACTCACCATAAATTTAGTTAGAAATAGAACTTACCAGAGCTCAGAGCAAAAGCTGTAGGTGAGTTCAGTGGCCCCTCCAGGGTCCTCACAGCCACCAGGTCCCTGCTCAGCTCCTCTGTGGGGAGTCTGACACCCGAGTGGTGAGTTCTGTCACGTTGCTCTGCAGAGAGAAACCACAGGAAGCCACCATCTGTCACTCACACCCAAGACAGAGCCCCTGCCCTGGCAGTGCAGTGTCCCCAAAAACTGGGCAGAGAGAACCAGGGGGGGCTTTTGTTCTCCCCAAGCATCCCCTGCACGAGGGAGGCACAAAACACCCACCCCAAAGCCACCCCTGATCCCCTCCAGTCCTCCCCTCTCCTCCCATCCCATCTGAACCAGGCACCACTGCTCCAAAACAGGCCTGGAGCTGCACTCCCACTCCCACTCCCCTGGAAGGGGGAAAAGCAAAGGAATGCTGCCATTCCCTCTCAGGAAAACCTCTGGCTAAAAAGATTTGGCAGAGCTGGAGGAGCCCTCACTGCTGGTGCTGGAAAATCCCTGCAGGCTGCTCAGCATCCCCAATTCCCTGTCCTGATCCAGCCAGGATGGGCCAGGAAGCACAAAGAGGTACCACAGGAGCAAGAGAAGCAGCTTCAGCTCTTGCTTTTCCGTGTTACAGACCCGTGGAGACGTTGGGAATTCAGCCCTGAGGGAATAAGGAGCTCCATGGGAAGGGAGAGGGCAGCCAGAAATATCTCACCTTTTCCTTTCCATGCTGTCCATCAGGATCTCTCACTCAGTGCCTGTGGTCAGAGGAAAGGCTGGTTTTCAGCACCTCAGCTCCCACTGCAGGAGTGTCTAACCCAGGTATTGTTTGTTCTGTGAGCTTCACAAGCCAACATCTTCATCCTCCCTGTAACCTGACATTGCAACAGTCACTTCATAACCCAAACAGACAGAGATTCTGGTGTCACTCACGTGGAAAACCCCCACAGCTCACCCAGGGTGTATTTATTGCCTGGGCAAGCAGGCAGGACCTGAGGTTGGAGTGGTTAAAAAAGACCAAAAAAAAAAAAAAAAAAAAAAAATTAAAGAAAAACATGAGCTCTCTGCACTCTGATTCACAGGCCCTGAGATCTCTGACAGACCCAGAACACTCTGCAGCCACCAAAGAGAAGGGCAAAAGGTGACAACAAGCACATCAGAGCCCAGCAGCAGCACGAGCCACCTCAGAGGAACCCCAAAGGGCTGTCTTGTGGTCATTCCTGACTCACCTGAGTCGCTGCTCCTGTGCTGGGACCACCAGAACTGTTTTAAGTGACCTCAGAGGAACTCTGGTCTGTACAGAAGTGGCTTTGTAAGCAGGGGACAGGATGAAGTTCCTGTGCTGCAGCTCAGCAGAGGAGTGAGTGGTGATGGGGAGAGGAAACAGCAGCACTTTCAAAGGCTGGGGCTGTAAATCACTCATCAATCAGGCAGCAACAGCTGCCCCTTGCCCTGCACAAAGGCAGGGCTGGAGAGGAGAGGAAATGCTCAGTTCTCTGCTCTCAGCCTGCCTTCCTCCCACACACACCCCCACAGGAGGAGAAAAGAACACCCCACCAACAAAAAACCCGAGCCCCCACTCCTTCCTCCTCCTCCTCCTCCTCCTGAGACAGGCACCAGAACCCCAGAGAAAGAGCAGTTATCTTCAGTTATCTTCCTTTTCCCTTGGCAGCCTCAGAGGGCAAGAACAAATGATAGGAAGATGCCTCCAGCCACAGTCAATGGTTTTTATTGAGACAAGGCTGTGTCCCTTGGCCAGGCTCCATCCCACATCCACAGCAGTCCTTTCACACACAGCTCATCCCCACAGAGCTGCTATTCATTCTCCTGGGGACCCTGTCATGGCCAGATCTGGGAGGGGAGAGAGGGAAAAAAAAAAGAAAACATTGACTTAGGGGAAGAAGATGGCACTGAAAGCACCTGAAAGCACTTAAAATGTGCAGTCTGCACTTCCCCCTGGGCTCCCTGCCCAGGGCACAGGCAGATCTGGCAGGGAAGGAGGGGGACAAACCCAGCAGCTGCTTTTCCAGGGCCAAGCCTGAGTACCCAGAGCTCATTTCAGCTCCCTGCACTGCTCTTTGCTGCTCCCCTTCCCCTCCTGCCCAGGGCTGGGCTCTGCTGAGCCTGGGGAAGGTCTGAGCGTGGGGAAAGTCCTTTGAAGGCACATTTTAAGGGCACTGGATTGACCACAGACACCTCAAACACCTGGCTCTCCCTAGCAGGGACTTCAAACTGCCATGACATCCCTTTGCTAATCCTGCACTGCTCCTTTTTTTAAGCCAAAAAACTGTAATAGCTTCTCAGAGAATCAGGGAATGGTTTGGGTTGGAAGAGACCTTAAAGATCATCTCATTGCAACCCCCTGCCATGGACAGGGACACCTTCCACTGAACCAGGTTGCTCAGAGCCCTGTTAAACCCAGCCTTGGACACCTCCTGATGCTGTTAAATTAAGACAGACACTATATAAGCAAAAAGATGCTCTGCTCTGTCCTCCTCTTACAATACCACGGGGAAAGGGAGTGAACTGAACCGGATCCACAGAAAATCGGGTCTTTATCCACGGTCTGGGACAGAACAAGAATTGATGAGAATTTAAAGTACCATTTAAAGCCACTGCCAGCAGAACTTCTCTCTTACTAACCTGAAAAGGAAGAGGGGAAAACCTACAAATGAAAATTAAGACTCTTTTCCCACACCACCTGCTGGGAACCCCTCTGTGTCTGACACCCTCGCTGTGATCTCCACCAGATGATCTTCAAGATCCCTCCCAACCCAACCCAACCCATCCTGGGTGGGTGTCCACACTGTCCCCTCTCCCTCCCAAGACCTGACCCCACCAAAACCCCAAGCCATTCCCAGCACCCACCCACCTGCCTCGTCGTATTCCACGGATTTCAGGAAGAGCCCCGAGGGTGGGGCCATGGCATTGGGAGGAAAAGCCAGGGCATCCTTTGCCTCCAGCAACTCCTTGACGTGATGAGGGGCCAACCTGCCCTGGCCAACTGCAACCAGAGCCCCAACCATCCTCCTGACCTGCAAAAACAAGAGGCCACAGTTCAGGAGCTGCCCTGGCAAAAAAAATGCAGAGCTGATGAGGGAATTCTGGCCAGGCCCTTGTTTCAGGTGCCACTGAAGTTCCTCAAGTCCCAGCCCAGATTCATCCATCAGGGTTCAAGCCAGTCCTGGCTGCCCCTTGTGTGCCCTTGGCATCACACAACAATCCTCCCAGGGAGCACTTCCAGTGCTCACTTTACCTCTTCAGGGAGATCATCACCAACCCTTAGCCCCTGGGCCCTCCCCAGCAGCCACAGCCACCCCAAAAATCTGCAAGAAAAGCTGTTCTTTCCCCTTTCAGCAGGGATTGCAGGGGCTACCTGGGTGGGGTGACACACTCAGCCTGTTTGCAACGAGCAGTGGGATCTTCTCAGTGCCCAAAGCCGGCGGTGGGGAAGGGAGAAGACCCAGTGAAAACCACCCCATTTCCTCTAAGCCCTTCCCTGCAAACTAAAGGGCATCCACAGGACCTGCAACACAACCATCTCCAGCCCCACAGCAGTGCCTTGGAGCAGGCTCTGCTCCCACCACACGTGGGCAGGGAGCTGAGCAGGGGCTGCTTTCAGTTCCAGAAACAACAGCAGCACCCACACATGGTCTGTGGCAGGAAGCTCACATGCCTGGTGGGGAGCTGAGCTCACAGCTTTTAACACACGAGCAACACTTCTCAGGTGGGAGGGGTTATGCAGGGACTTGTTTCTCTCTCACAAAGCCAGAAAAGAAGGGGGAAAAAAAGAAATCACCCTATCATCAGCAAATTGGTATTTTCACACACCTCTGCTTGTCAAAGCTCTCCTTCCCTCCCTCCACACCCGGCAACTCCAGGCCTGGTGGGCTGGCAGAGATTTCACACCTCGGTGCTCACCTCCTGCACAAACACCCCTCACACCTCAGCGTCCTCCTGGCTGAGAAAATTCCTCCTGGAGGAAAAAAATCCCTCCAGGAGGGCCAGAATTTGGAGCTGCCAATGCCACCTGCACACCAAATGCTGCTTCTCCATCCCTGGTTCTCCATCCCTAATTCTCCATCTCTCGTTCTCCAGCCCTGGTTCTCCCTGTGTGGTGGCCACAAACATCAGTTATTTGGATTAAATAAACACTCATTCTGTTCATGCCCTTTCAAAGCTCTCCCAAACCTTCACTTGCAGTGCTGGGATGAATCACTGGTCTGAGTTTCTGATCCAGTGGCATTTAACTGAAGAATAAACCAAAAACCCACTTAAGGTCATGTTTATCACTGGTGAGGAGGAAGGTCCAACAGGCCAAGACAGAATTATCTTGGCAAGTGCTGGCTCTCCCTGTGTGCTCTGAGCCTGCCTGCAGGATCCTCCACATCTGTTATTTTATCCACCCTCACTAGAGGTCATTGCATGCCATGACTTCAGCTTTGATGTCTCCACACTCAAGAATCAGCTGAGGAAAAAAAAAAAAACCACACTAATGGTCCACATCCTGAACAGCCACGTGTTTGGTGTCTCTCCCCACTTCTGCAGGGCATTCAGCAAAAAAAAATATGTATATATAAAGGTTTTGGGGTGGTTTAACCCTTTGTAATAATGAAATCACCCAGATTTCAGTACTTATAGACTACACATGAGTGAGAGCAGAAGTTCACTTTGGCCTGGTCTCCTCTTTATGATGGAGGGCAGAGGAGATGCTCAGATTAGAATGGGTTTGGGTTGGAAGGGACCTCAAGGATCATCCATTTCCACCCCCCTGCTACGGGCAGGGATGCCACTGACTACACCAGGCTGCTCAGGGCTCCCTCCAGCGTGGCCTTGAACACTCCTAAAGTGTTGAAGTTCAGGTGTTCAGCCCATCCCTGCCTCACTGTTCCCTTGCTGGGAGCAGGGCTGAGAGAGGCTTACACGGACAACTGTTCCCTCTGCACAGGGGCACTGAGAGGAATTTCCCTTCCAAGGCACCAAAACGGTTACCAGCATCTTCTCCTGCTCACCAGAGCACCTGAGGGAGCAAATCCCTGCTGGGCATCAAGCCCTTCCCAAGCACGTTGTTGTCCCATCCAGACACCCACTTGCCAGAGCTCCCAGAGCATTGCTTGGCACAGGATAAAAAAAACAAACTGGGTTTGTCAAAACAGGGTAAAAAAAAAAATAGCTGCTTGCTGTTCCCACAAAACACCCCCTCTCCTCCAAAATAAACAAGCCCTCTCCTGCCTGCTCTCTGCCTCCAGAGCGTGACCAAGGGCAGGAGGGGCAGAGTGAGAGCAGCTCTTCCCTAACCAGGTGATGCCTTAAGTTGGGAACAGAGAGAGGATCTCACCTGAGGATCCCAGGAGAGTTATTTAAAAATAAAACCCTCCGTGGCAGAGGCAGAGATCCTGCAGAGCCTTCCCACTGAGAATCACTTCGTGCTCCGAAGCCAGGAGGCGAAATTCCAGGCAGGCTTTGGCGGGCCCAGCGCCATCCAGCAGAGCAGGAACACATGTCTGCTGGGTTTTACCACCCCACTGCAGGGACAAGGATGGTGGAAAACAAAAACTTTCCATCCTCCCACACGGGTTTGGGAGGTTGGGACAAACCATTTTAGGCACGGGCTGAAGAGATCCTGGTTCTAATGGATCAGAGGACACGGATCCCTGACCTCTCTGCTGCCCCAGGTCCCTGGGAGTGTCACACAGCTGGAACAGCAGCTCTGCACGAGATGGAGCCACACAGGGATGGAGCACTACTAAAACAGGTAATATTTCTAGGGGCAGCAAGGCTCTGGTTCTTGGAGGCAAAGTGTTTGCTGGACACAGCCCCAAACCTACCTGTCGGTAAAGAAACGACCTGCCCCTGAACTTCACCTCCCAGAACTCCAGAGGCCTAAAGAACAACAAAAAAAAGGCATTTAAAAATCACATTTCAAATGGTTCTTTTTACCCACAGATGAAGTAAATGTCAAAGATGACAGTGAGGCAGCTGCACTGCCCCTTGTTTGGAACCCCAGGCTGCTCCTTGGCTGCTCAGACACAGAGGATTTCTGGGATGAAACGATCCCTACCTGCTTGGCATGTTCCTGGTTTTATGACCTTCCTGTCCTAAGCAGAACCCCTCAAACAAAAGGGAAAAGGGGCAACCCAAACCAAGGTGCAGCACCTGAGCAGCAGCCAAGGCACTGCTGGCCCGAGAGATTCAGCCTGGTATTCCCTGGAGAAAGGCAGAAACCACCAGCCATAGCAAAGAAACCACCATTCCTCCAGAGGTGGCTTGAGGGAACCACGTGCTGCTGCTCCCAGGAACTGCAGGATGGATTCCAACCCTCGGCAGTGCCCACCGTGACATCCACGTGCCACTGGAAAGGTCAGGAGTCAGGGGGATGGGCCTGAGGGATCTGCCTGGAGCAGGAGAACAGGCAGTGGCAAGACAAGGAAATGCCTCCAGAGCAGGAATGGGGATGTTTGGGGATGGGTGGAGCAAATGTGTTCGTATAGACACCATTTTTCCCGGAATTTTTAGGGTAGTAACCAATATTCCCTGTAAGAACTCTACTACTCCAACACCTTACTGGCACCTGCTAAATCTTTACAAGCTGTTTTCTAGCTTTTTTTTTTGCATTTTCCTGACCATTTTTGCATTTTCCCAACTCCTTTTGTACTGCATTAAGTCCGTCACAAAGACCCAAACCCCACAGCTTCTGTCTCTGAATCAGAAAACTCCTGGTTGTGGTTATCACTGACAAAGGATTCCAAGAGAGGTAAATGCCATCATGCTCCTCAAAGCCATCCCTTCCAGCCTAAACATTCATTAAATGAATTAATATTGACAGGTTACAAGAATGACTCACTGCAAAACCCAAGTTTGGCTGCATGTGTCACCAAAAGCAAAAATATTCCACCAGGAGCTGGTTTGGTGCTTTGCAGTGCAGTTTTTAGGTTTGTTTTCTCTCTCTCTCAAGCTGTTTTTGGCCTCCTGTGGGATGGGTTTCTGCAGCAAGTTATGCAAAGAACGGCAATTTCCCTGTTTTACATTAAAATTGCAGACTTAAAATATGCATTAAATCTCAGAGATCAGGCCAGTGACAGTAGCAGGGCTGGGCTGGAGGGTAACCCTGGTCCATCTGGAGATCTTGAGAGACTCTCAATGGTTATTTTCAGGTGAGCTCAGAACTCAAAATAAAAGTGTTGGGTTTTTTTCCTGATCAGAAAGAACAAAAAAATGGAATTTGAGACAGACAACAGCCAGGTTTGCTTTCAAGCTGAAACACAACCGTGAGAGAGAAGGCAGCAGGAAAGGAAAAATCACGTTCAGATGATAAATATCCATGATCTTTCTGGGAAAAAACTTCAGCTTCTGCTCGAGAGAGAATGCATTCAGCCACTTCATTTCAATACTTGCAAGACCTGGTCCTGAGAGAACTCGATACTCCACTGTCTTTTGTTTATGTAATGACTGAGGAATATTGGATTTCAGCAACATCCCCTGGGAAGGCAGCAGGAGCTGGTGGAGTGAACTGAGTGGGTCTGCACAACCACAGCACTGACCCAGGTGCTGGGTGGGCTTTTCCCCCTCCATTTCCAGCCTTTAGGCAAAGCCAGGACAGCAGCAGGGGAGGATAAAAAAAGTAAGTCTAACCCTTGGCAGAGCTGGTTTTTAGCAACCAAAGTGAGTGTAAAAGTGCTGGAAGCCCCTCACAGGAACTGCTCCCTGCCAGATTCCAGCCACCAGCTCAGAACATCCGGCCTTTCATGTACAAACAACTGGACCAGCTTCCCTCACCCTCGTTCCTGCTCATCCTTCTCCCTGAGGACACTGGGGAGGAGAGGGAAAGGAAGGGATTTTTCCAAGCTGTCCCTCAGCAGAGCCCCAAGAGCAGCGATGTGAGGGCAAGGCCAGCGGGAGATCAGCCCCCAAAACAGGGCTTGGGAGCAGCTTCTCAGCTCGGAAAAGACCTTGGCAGGGTCTCTGGGCTCTCACCTGTGCTCGTAGTGGTGGGCCAGGAAGCCAGGAGAGGGCTGGATGTCCACCTGGAGGATGGTCCTGACCGGAGACTTGAGCTCCGCGTCGCTGTTGAGGGAGCGGAAGGTGCTGAAGTCGTGGGTTCCCAGCAGGAATTGCGCTGCCTCCTGCATGGCAGGGACGTTCAGGGGGCTGGAATTAAACACACACAGCCAAGGGAAAGGAGCATCAGGTGGGAGCAGCGTGTTAGAGGGGGTCAAAGGGCGATGAATCCGTGAAATCAGGCAGAGATTTCACCTCGTGGGAACGTGGAAATGCATTTGGATGGAGCCCGTCTTGCAGTGGCCCAAAGCACAAACCAAAATGCCCAGTGACCCGAGCTCTGAGGGAACGCTGCTCCCACCCAGAGCACTGATGGCTCCTGATTGCCAATTCAGATCCCCACAGAAGTTTTCATGTGCATTATGTGCCCTCCACACCAGATGTGCTCAGGAGTGCTCTCACACGTGAGCTTCTCCACTACTGGCAGCCCAAATATCCCCCCTTTTAGTAAGAACTTACTCCCATTCAGGATTTCTGATATGTTCAGTCTTCCCTTTACGTGGTGCTGCCACTTGAGAGAATTAATTGCAGTGTCTGGGCTTGGTTCAATGCTGTTTCATAAAGCACGCTGTGCACACAGCATCTAATTCTGTACTTTCCTATTTATTTTTCCCTTCCACAGCCCGCAGAAGAGAAAGTCAGCAGTTTAATGGTAGGGCAATGTCATCTTCACTCCTCTCCTAAGACAGCTGGAATCACATTTTTTCCCATTACCCACAACTGTTATCCCAACAGTGCTGGTGAAATGACCACAACCTGGTTTTCTGCAGTGCCTGGAAAACTCCAGGTTTCTTGAATGTGTGTTTATCTCAGTACAACATAAACTAAAGGAACAATAACAGATTATCTTCTGGCCTTTGTTTGCTTATTTTTCTCACCCACTGTTTACCATGCCCTAAGATTTTAGTTGGTTTTTGTTTTTTTTTTAATGGCACTGAATGTGTTTTTCTTCCCCTGCACACACAAGCACTGATTTGTTATGACTCGGTGGTTACCCCAAGAACACAAGTGAACACTGAGCTGATACCCTGATTTATTATTGTAGGGTTTGCTCAGAGCCATTGGCTCTCACTGTTCAAACACTCAGGGAATGAGAGAGGAGGTTTAGAGAAATGGGGGGAAATGAATAGGGCTCAGTGATCACAACTCGGGGCGTTTCCTCGCCGAAATCCCGTCAGTACAAACAGGGGATGAGGCCTCACCCATGGAAACTGCCCCCCCAAAAGCCAAGCCTTTCACAGAAACACAGAATTATTTGGGTTGGGAAAGCCCTCCCAGCCCATGGAGTCCAAAGAGATCCCCACCTTGTCCCCCAGCCCAGAGCTCTGAGTGCCACGTCCAGCCCTTCCTTGGACACCTCCAGGGGTGGGGACTCTAAACCTCCCTGGGCACCCCCTTCCAAGGCCTGACCACCTTTTCCATGAGGAAATTCCTCCTGATGTCCAACCTGACCCTCCCCTGGCACAGCTGGAGGCCGTTCCCTCTCCTCCTGTCCCTGTTCCCTGGGAGCAGAACCTGACCCCTCAGCTTCCCCCTCCTGTCAGGGAGTTGTGGAGAGCCAGAAGGTCCCCCCTGAGCCTCCTCTTCTCCAGGCTGAGCCCCCCCAGCTGCTCCTCATGGGACTCTTCCTTTCTTTCCAGGGATATCTGATGGCAGACACTCACCCTCCTGCAGGAGCCCAGCACAGATCCCGCTCAAACACGGGCACCTGGGAATGGTGGGAACAGCCCAGCAGCAGCCTGTAAATGTAGGTCCTGGACAAGGCAGAGAACCGGGCGTGGAAGCTGCTGGGCACTCGGTGGGCACTCAGGATGCTGCAGGCACAGAGGGGAGGGAGGGAGACGGACAGAAATGTCAGGTATTGATTGCACACGTGTTCCTGGCCACGCTCCAGGTGAGAGGCAGCGCCTCCCCAGCACTCTTGACTCCCTCACCTCGAGGTGAGGAGCTCACCTTCCAACACACCCCACCCTCCTGCTTCTGCAGATCTGCCATCCCAAACTGAGTGGGAACAAACCCCCCCAACACCCTGACAACAGACACCCCCGTGCTCGCTCCCAAGGGCAGCCTGGAGCAGATGGAGACAGCTGGAAGTAGGTCACTTCCCTGCCACCTCCCCCCCACGACCTCCAAGACACACAGCACTTGGCTGTGGCGATGGAATGAAGGTGAATCCCCCCCATCCCCGAGGTCGAGTCTGACTGAAAGCGGCAGGATGAACCCTCTCACTTCACAGGAGCATCCCCCAGAGCGCTTTTCTGCTCATGTCTACTCATCTCCCACTGGCTCCAGGCAGTTGACTCAAGAAGGAGCTTTCCAGGCAGCTGAACTTCCCTGTTTTCTTCTATCAGCAGCAGGGAGAAATCGTGTTTCTCCAGGCCAAGGCCATCACTCACAGCCAGCAGGGACAGCACACCTTAGAAGGGAGTTTTCCCCCTGCTGTTTGCCCTCCTTCTGCCTTTGGAATTTGGCAGAGGGAGGAGAAGGGACCCAGACAGGGTAAAAAAAAAAAAAAAAAAAGGATACCATTTGAGAGCACGTAACAGTCAAATCTATTTATTTACTTTAAAAAGGTTGGTGCTGGGGGGGGATTTTTGCCAGCTCAAGTGTCTCTGGCTCACAGCCCTTCACTGCAAAGGCTCAGGCCACAGAAGGAGAAATTAAAGCTGAGCCACAGGCCCCCACAAAGATTTGCAATAACAAGCCCAGGAGATTCCTTCACTGCTATAAACCACCAGGAGAAATGCAAACTACATCCTCCAGGCCTGCAGTGCAGTCTGAACCCAGGACCTCCAGCCTCTTCTAAACACAATAATAAAACTATTACACTTATTTTCCTCTGCCTACATGCCTCCACAAGCATATCATCTATCCTGAGCTTCTCTTGTTAACACTTCTGTGATTTTTTTTATTAAATAACCATCCTTTTAGGGTGATTCTTTCAGAGAAACCTATTTATGCTCACATAATTCTTCAAGTCAGGCATCCTTTCCTGCCTCTCCAACCAGATGCGATTGCTGCCACAGACTCCTTCCAGCCAGGAATATTCCAGCAGCTACATTTCAGGCTTTGTTAAGATCCCAGTTTTTTGAAAAGGGTGAATAAAAACTCATGGCATTCTTCACCTTTCCAACAGGACCTGACTTCCAGAGGAGGTCGAAGGGAAAAAAGCCCAAAGACACGTAACTGGAAATGACAATGTATTAGACAAAGATGTCCCCCAGAAGCACATCCTGCTCTCCCCACTGACAGCACAACCCAAAAGCCAATTTGCAGAGGGTGGGAGGACTCCAAGCTCTGCCTTGGCACTCAGACAACTTTCACCAGAAACAGGAGGCGTGAGTCTGCTCCTGGCATTACCATCCCTACTTGAGGGACAGCAAAGTCCTCCTAAAATCACCCCATCTCTGAGACACGCTCTGCTCTTTGAGGAGAGGATCCTTTCCCATGTGTTTTTGCGAGTTTAAAAGGCAGATCAGTTGATAGAGGAGACCCACCACCCCACAAAGGAGGTTATTGTGGCTGATGGTACAGTCAGCCCGCTTGGAATCTTGTTTCCCTTCCAAGCTCCACCACCAACAATGTGTTCTCACAAAGATCCCTCTCTCCATCACCCCCTGCTTGCAACCACATGAAAGTTTGGAGTTCTCTCTTCGGCATTAGGAGAGAATTCTCCTTGGCAGAGCAACACTTGCAGAGGGAGGGGGTGGTTGCTGAGCACACGTGGGCTCATGCCCGGCACCGGCTCCTTAATGGGAAGCAGATGAACCATTTTCCAAAGGCTGAGCCCCAGGGAGGAGGAAAAGCTGCCTGACAAACTCAGACTGACTGAGCAGGGCTGGGTTGTGCTCTTATCACAAGGTATCACCTCCTGAAACCTGTCAGATCTCAGGGTGAGACAGAGAACTCCTCCCCTCTGTGAGATCCCACTGCTGCTTCCTTTTGGAGGTGGTCTCCAGTTCAAACCTTCTTCAGCAGCAATCCTGGTTGCTCTTAGGACAAGCCTAACCATCACTATGGGTCTGTAGGACTTCCAGCACTGAAAGCAGCACTTTTAGCTCTCTAGGACAACTTATTCCATTAAAGCTCAACACCACCACTCGCAGTCACAGCCCCGAATTCAGGGAAGAGAGACAGAGATTCAGTGGCTGGGGATGCTCAGAACAGACTGACCACTACAGACAGACTGCCTGGCTGTAAAATCAAGAGAGTTCTGCTCCCAAACTGCTTTAGTCTTTTAAGGAAGGAAACCAAAACCATGACCTACTTCAGGTTCCCTGTTACTGCTAAAACATCCAGAAAGGGTTTGACTTCCAGGGAGCACAGATTCTGACCTAGTTTTCAGGCTGAGCAAAAATGAACAACCCAACCCCCTGCCCAAGTCAAATCCTATTTCAGAATATTATTTTTAATTCTGGAAAGAAACCCTCTCCAGCCCCACCCCGGAGCAGCTGCTTTAGACTCTTTGCACATATGTCAGGGAAGGTGAGAGCTGTCAAGGGACAGGAACTCCCAGTCAGCTTGAGAGAGAGAGAGAGATTTGCCTTGTGGCCTCTCACTGCTGAGGAACTGGATTTGTGAGTGCAAAACTGTCAATCCTCTACTGCCATGCTGATGTTCCACCTCAGGTTTGGGGTGCAGGACCTGACTTGTTCCTGGCTGGCTGTCCCTGGGCTGTGGGGCAGAAGCAATGGAAATAAAATTCGCTTTTCCTTCAGGTGCCCGCTGTGAAACCTTTGCTTTAACGCTCCACCAAACCTGCAGACTGCCAAAACACATTTCTGCAAACAAGGGGGAGGGGGAGGGGACATTCCCTCATGGATTTCTGGGGGGGCTGACATTCATGGGTTTCTAGCCTGAGCATAACAACCACCTAACCCTAACCCTTAGGCTGAGCTCAGACACAGCACAGGAGGGTTTCACGGAGGGGCAGCAACACCTGAGCTAACATGGACAGTCAGGAGGCTGCCAGGATCAAAGGGAAAAGGCAGAGTGGCCTTCTGCTGTTCCTAAAACTGTCTGGGGAACTGCCAGAGGAACTGCAAACATCAGGGAGAAAGGTCAGCTAAAGCAGCACAACAAACAGCCACTAACAGGAACTGGGTGTCTGTAGATATGAGGCGCTCACAGTGCCTTCCTGCCCTCCTTCCTGAGCTCAGATTCCAAGGATTTCACTTCCTCTTCCCCTTCCCCTCTCTGATGGCTCCCCTGGTGCTCGTTCAGAGGTGAAAGAATGCGGCTGGCTGAGACAGCTTCTGCTCCAGCTGGGATCCCAAAGAGAAAAGGTCCCACTGCACTTCAACAGATGCAAAGCATGACTGACACACAGCCCCAGAAACGCTGCAGGAGACACTGGAAAACCCAATCCCGAGGCCAGGAGAGCTACAGGCACCAATATTTGGCACAGACCCACAGAAGTGGGAGCCCAGTCACAGCAGACCTTCCTGCAGCAGCAAGTGCCAAGCTACCAAGTGTCACACACACACACCCCCTCATGACCATCAGCACAGGCTGGAATTTGTTCCCTGGAGTCACTGTGCCCTCTGGATGTGACACAGCAGAGTCCCTTCATCTCATGCAGCTCTTTGCATCACACAGCACACTTGGCTTGGGAACGGCCACTGGACCAGCAGGTGATCCCTGCAGCCCCTCCTGAGTTTGGAGCAAGCTGTGCCAGGGGCTGCTGAACTCCACAGCACTTGCAGCCACGAAAAGAACCTCCTGGGAAAAGAGCAACACCATCACCCACCTCCCAGTCCTCCCCCAGACCCCAACCTGTCTGAGCACCTGCCCATTCAGAGCCGGATTCGTGGCCCTGCAGAACTGGAATCCACCCTTGCAAAACCCAGAGTGATGTCAGACCCCAAATCCCAGGCCTTGCTCCGTCAGCATTTGGGGCAGGTCCTGTTTCACAAAGAAGGGATTAGGAAACAAAGCAGAGTGGGTGAAGCAGGCAGGGGGAATGGAGCTCCCAGTCAGGGCACCGCTCTCACAACAATCCCCTCCCTGGGGGTGCTTTTATGCCCTGGGCTCTTGCTCTGCCATGGGGACTCTGCTTCTGTAATCTTCTGATGTCACCAGACATCAGAAGGGTGACAGTCATGGATGGAGGACCTGGGCCCTCTGAGCACCTTGTGCCCAAGTTCTTTTGCTCACCTCAACACCTCCTTATAAACTCCCCCCCTTCTTGTACAACACTCTGAAGTGCTTTGACCCTCCCTACCTGTGCCTTGAAGAGTTTTCACTTATGCAAATAAGGCAAAGTAACACAGGAAAGAACAGAGCAGAGCAAAGCAGAGCAGCTGCTGGCAAATGACATGTTGGTTCTATGACACAGCACAGATTTGGCTTTTAGGCTAAAAATCCCAATGCTTCATTCAATTTACACTTTAACCATAAAAAGTTACAAGTTCTTCATGTCTGGGGGAGAACCAGAAGTGACACCTGACAGAGGAGACACAACCACTCGGGATGAAAATCGAAGAACATGAAATTCAACCCATCTTTTGAAACCTTCTCAAGGTGTGAAGTAATTAATTCTGTAACTGATGCACATTCCTAACAGAAACTGTTGATTCCATGATTATTTCCTAGGTATCCTGCAGAGTAATCCCACTCTGAAATTCTGCAAGAAATAATAACTGAAAGCTGTCACACTTGTGCTCTGATGATTTTTTAATTATATCTCATATCTATAAAATAATTATAATTAATATAATTAATAAAATCGGGGGAGGTATTAACTACTTTAATTGCAGCAGAAATACACGTGCAAGGGAGTGATTTACCAACCCAGGACAGGGGAAAAATCCATCCCATGTGTGAAGGTGGGGGGATCATCGCTGCATTTCCTCCCGTCCCCAGCAAAGGCAGAACAGCAGATTTTGGACTTGGCAGCGACTCACCGGATGGGCTCAGGCCTGAGGTGGTAGTTGAGGCTGAACAGGAGCTGCTCCTCACTGAAATGGGGCTTCCCTGGGCCCCTCTGGATGTCCAGGTGGGCGGCGTTGCAGAGCGCGTGGACGCCCGTGTCGGTCCGGCTGGAGATGTGGAACTTGATGGGAACGCTGGCCTTGAGGTTCTGAGCTGCCTTCTGAAAGCCAACAGGAGATGGGTTCAGCCACAGCAGGCTCACCTGGAGCCAGCTGGGAAAATAAAAAACCATCCCTCTCCTTGCTCAGCAGGTGTTACTGCTCGGATAGAAAAGCAATTTGGAGCCACTGCGGGCACAGGAGGTGATGGAGAGGAGCCTGTCTGGGGGACTCCTCCCAGCACCAGGGGCTTTTCACTTTGTGCCCTGAAATCACTTCAAATGGAACACCCAAATGCCACATGAGCTTCCCTTCATGTAGAAAATCAAGTGAAAACACTCCTCTCCCTGTCCTTTGCCTTGTGCCACTGGGTGAGTGAGAAGCAAGACAGAGGATTAACTATTCACACCAACCATCCCTGAACTCACTGTCGAAAACCCAGGCCCTCAAAAAGGGATGGAAACCAGCCAAGACACCAGGCAAGGTGTCTGAAGGAGCTCAGGCTGCAGCCTTTGCTGGCACTGCAGACCAGGATGGTGCAAAGTGCTGTGGTTGTTGCTGTGGTTGTTGTTGCTGCAGGCAGGAGTTCTTTTCCAGCCACAATGGAATTGTGGAGAGCAGAGGAGCCAGGGGACCAGAGCAGGGGCAGCACAGCACCTGAGGTAATGCATTTACTGCTCCCACTGAGGAATATCCATACAAACAGAGCTAAGAACCAAGAACACAGCTCTCAAAACACACCAGCACCGAGGAGCTGACACTGAGCTGGCCCAGCAGCTACAACCAACCACAGCACAAACAGCATGGATTTTTACTCATATTTTTCCCCATATATTCCTCAAGAGTGGTTTTCTTCAGGAGCCAAGAGCTGCCTCACTATTCAGGTGATGCCTCACTCACCCCAAGACCTCTGGCACAGCAGGGCTAAGGCAGAAGACAACAAACTTAATTACAGCATCAGCCAGTTTAAGATTATTAGAGCCCCAAACCCCTAAAATTACACAGCAGCTGAGATGCCCTTTAAAAATTACTCAGCAAAAATGCACTGCAACAGGATCCTCGAGGTCCTGCCTATGGATTTTGGCAGGGATTTGCTGGAGGATCCACCTGTGGCTCTGATTGTTGTTTCCCTTTCCCAGCTGTTCCTCTCCACACAGCTGGTTTTTATCCCCCTTTTATTCTGCCTTTCCCTTCTGCCCACTGACTGGAAAAACAACTGGGTGAATTACTAAAGGTTCCTGCTGGGAAAGTAAATAAACCCCTGCTAAATGAGTCACTAATAAGGTGTCTTTTAATCAAGATTCACACTCAAACAAGAGCAAAAAGAAGAGATGCAAACACAGTCTTCCTCTGTGAGGCCAGGCCCTGAGACAGAAAACCCAGTGAAAATCGTTCCAGGGAATAACAGAAACATTTCAAAGACTGAAAACCCACAAAAGAAGGCAGAAAACCAGAGGAATGACAAGAAATTTCCTTCTCCTTCCCATCCCCACTCCTGAGCAGTGAAGCCAGCGGTGGTCTTTATTAGATTTTAATTTGGTACAAGAGCCAATAAAGTTTGAACTGCTGACTCACAAATACCTTCCAGACTCCCAGTTTGAGCAGTCAGGATTCTGAGCTCTCAGAAATGCACAGTTAAAATGCAGAGGAAGGCAGGAAAAAATGTCCCCAAGCTGCAGGGGGAGGCCTGGGAAACAGAACAAAACTGATTTTTTTTCCCTTCCTAATCTTGCTTTTTGGAGTTCACATGTGGTTACAATTAACAGTGAAAATCTTTATTTATCACCCTTAAGCAGAGAGAAGCAGACAGAAATTACATAGTTTTCTGGAGCAGACCTTGGCTTGTGCCTCAGCAATTTGTCCTAAAGCAGAAGCTGATTTTAAGAGCAAAGTTTCTGAGATGTTTGGACTGTGCAGACTCCTCCCTTTCCTCTTCTCCCCCTCCTCTCTCATCAGACAAAAACCAGCCACTGGAAACAAGAGTTGAGAGAGAGAACAGTGGAGAACATGGAAAACATCCTCTTTTTTTTTTTTTTTTATTATTAGAGGCTTGGAGAAGTTTGGATCCCACACTGCATCCCATTTCAGTCTGGATGATGAGAACATGGTTTCATGGTGTGCACAGGCACAGGGGGCTGCACTGCCCAGCCAGGGAGGCTCTGCAGGATTTAGAAATGACAATGTTCTAATAAATAGTAACGTGCAGGCTTCTGGTTGAGAGTCATCACAGCCTCCCTGACTCGCTGTGGGTGCTGTGTCAACTGAAACTAATTCAAAATCTCCCTCGTTTGTAGTGGGATAGGTAAAAGACGAAGTGAAAGCCAGGAGGGAAAAGCTGAGAACGTGGATTCTGCTGGAAAGAAAGGGGAAAAAAAAAAAAGGTTTCCAAAGCGACCTCCTCCATCACTGAAATTATTATCAAAACAGGGGTTGAAGATGACAGTTCTCTTGGTCTGTTTTTTCTTTATTTCTTCCTCTTTTTTGTTTTCTCAGGGGGTTGGGAAGAGGGGAGGGCAGAAGGCCTTAGCAAAGCTGCCTGGCATAGTAAGGAGCTGATGTGTGTTCCTCCTCTCCTCTCCTCCTCCCTTCTCCTTCCATGAGGAATAATATCTGGCCTCAGCACAAGGCTGCTGGCCAAAACCAGAGCTTTGTGTGGGGAAGATTAGCTCTGGGCAGCATCCACCAGCACAGAGGGAGAGGGCACACTCAGCAGAGGTGGCACCCACCGGGCACGAGAGGCGGAGGGCGAATCTGCGGGTGCCACGAGGTGTTTGCCAGCACAAACAGCCTGGCTAAAGGGGCCACGTGGGAGACCTCCCCTTTACAACAGGGACATCTGGGAGGGCTGAGAGCAGAACATGAAGTCCTGCAGCTCACAGGTTTCCCCAAAGAACGGGAGGGAGCCAAGGCACAGGGCTAAAATGTCCCGTCTGGGGAAGCGAGGTCTGGGATTGGGGTTGGACCCATCACCAGCAAGGGCTTCGAGGTAAATATGCTGCCTCCAAGAAAGAAATAAAGTGTTTTCTTGCAAAGCTCATCCTCCTCAAAGAGATATTAAAAGCTCCAACAAATATCTACATCTGTCCCAGAGCTAAAACAAGTTCTCCACTTCCTCTTGACAGTCCCAGGGCTCTGTTACAGAGCAGGACTGAGGGCTGCAAAAGCTTCTGTGTCCTGTATGATCCAGCATTTTTACAGAGGCACAGCCCTCCTGCCCAGCCCCAGCCCAGCAATTTCACCCCAGCACACGCTCACAAACCAACCAGCCCATGACACTTCCAGTGAGGCAGCTGTTGAAACACAAGCTCTGCAGCTCACAGGTTATTTCTGCTCGCCTGTGACTGCAAACAAATGTCTGAACATCTCTGGGATACAATAAGGATCTCATTACAGGTTTCATTCTGCCCTTCCCTTCAGTTGCCTTCCTGGCTTTTGGAGAGCAGTGGAGTTCAAGGCTGCATAGAAAAGGAGGAAGGAAGAGAAATTCCTACAGGCTCCAGAAGTTTTCTATTAGAGTTGCTTTAAGACTTCCCATGTGGTTCCAATCGACACAGCAGTGCCCAGCATCAATACCACCACATGAAAGCAAAGCACATAGCCCAGAACTGGCCTGCAAAGTGCTGATACTGTGAAAAGACAACACCAAATAAGCTCATGTTTTCCTTTTTTTTTCTTCTTCTTTTCTCCCCTAATCACCCATCCTACACCCATCTGCCTGTTCAAACAGAGTAACTGGGATAATGCAAAACAACTGCTGGGCTCAGCCAAAGTCCTGGGGCTGAGGCACTGGGATGGCTCAGAGGATGAGATAAATGAGATAGAAAGTCCTCTGGGCTCTTCTTTCAAGATCTGCACAATATTTATCCACTTTCTCTGCAACGGTCTCAGGCAAGAAGCCACAGAAATACACCCTGAGAACTCTTACCCAAACCATGATTCCTCACACTTTCCCCCTGCAGGCTGGGGAGTGAGGGCACACAGGAACTCCCACGCTCAGTGGTGTGGAAATGCCTTGGCCATGGTCACAGAGAGAGGCTGGGTGGGACAGCAAGTCCTTCTGGACCAGCCCTTGGACAACTCAGCTCTTCACCACCCCAGGCTTGTCACCAAGGCAGGGCACGGACTGTGGTGGGCACCTCACCTGCACACTGCTGCATTTGGGACCAAAAATGGGGTGCAAAACGGGTCTGATCTGACCCACAGCCATCAGCCTGAACCTCTTCAGCAACCTCTTATCTCCTTAAAACGCACGAGCTTCACTTTGAACCCCATGATGCTCCCAGGACAAACAGTGCAGCTTCCTTTTGATTCCTGCGCCGCACCATGGGATCCACCAGCAGCTTGTAATTAAATTACAACTGGATTACAATGCTCAGGTGGGCTGAGCTTTCACCCTAGGACCCATTTCCTACTGCATTTTGCATGCTCACTCCAAGCCCCAACAGCACTCGGGTCCTGAAAGCCATTCTTACATTCCAGGGGATCCCTGGGAGCAGCACAGCAACAAGCAGGAGAACAGGATCCTAACTTCTTTCCCCTGGCATATCAGAACTCCAAAAGAATGGAAACAGCAAGGAACAATGGACATCCTGCTGTGCTTTGTTCTGAAAACATCCATCAGAGGCATCCTCTCCCAGGAGGACAGAGTTTCCAAAGCCATAAAGGATTTTGCCATGAACTAGAACCGAGGCAGTTTGAAGAGCAAGGCTCATCTTTTTCAGGATCAGAATCTCCACAGCGACATCACTTCTAAAGCACCAGTTTTATTGAGTGTCAGCCTCAAAATAATAATAATAATAATAACCCTGATAAAATCTGTAGCTGAGCAATGTGACCCCAGGAGCTTCATTCTAAATGACATTATGATTAGCAGGGACCTACCTCCAAATAATTCTGGACTCCAACCAGTGCCTGATCACTCTTAGTTTCCACAACCCCACTGCAGAGCAAAACAAACACAACAGTCATTGAGATGTGTCAACTGTTTGCTTTTGGACCACCTGGATCTTCCCACAGAACTTGCAGGGAGCAACCACTCATGGGTGGGCAGGAAAACTGATGCAGGGGTTGGTTACGTGCAGGAAACGAGCCTGGAATTAAAATCGCCCTTAAATTATTACTCTGTGAACTGCCCCTTCAGATGGAGGCTGGCTGGGAGATAGGGCAGACAAATGACACCAGTTTGCAGATAAAACTATTTCAGGGCCAGGAGTCGGTTGCCAAATGCAGGTGCTTTTGTGTGAGTGCCACAGGGGGACTAAAGGAGCGTGGGGACAGTTTGTGAGGAGCTTCCTTCTCTGCTGCAGAGGTCACTGCCCTGCACACCGAGGAGCTGAGAGATTCATTCCCAGGCTAACCCCACCCTACCTGGGCCTACTCAGAATAATTTGAGTGCTCACAGTGGCACAAGACCACACACTGTGAACGAGCTGTGGAGTTTGGCACAGGATGTTACTCTGTGACAGGAACACATCACTTCACCTGCATCTCTGGGCAGCACCAGGTACCTGAGCACTGAGAACTGGCCACAGCCAGGTATCACTGCAGGAAATACAGCAACTTGTCCCTCCCTCCCCAGCCTGAGATAAGTTTCCCTTCTTCTCTTTCCTTAGACCTTTTCTCTTTGCTAATTTTATGCCTTTCCTGCCTGAACCACCCCCTCCCTTCACACTGCTGTGCACAGCAGGAAGCAGAGCCCAGCTCCCTGAGTGCTCCCACCTGCTCAGCGAGGGATCATCCCTCCCCTGAACACTGTTCCCATCCATCCATCCCTCCCCAGACACTGTTCCCATCCATCCATCCCTCCCCAGACACTGCTCCCATCCATCCCTCCCCAAACTCTGTTCTCACCCACTCCTGCCCTGAACACTGCCTTCCCCAAACTCTCTCCTCCCCAGACTCTGCTCTCACCAATTCTCATCTGAACACTGCTCTCACCCATCCCTTCCCCACACCCTCTCCTCCCTAAACTCCGCTCTCCCCAAACTCCGCCCTCCCCATCTCACACCTGAACTCTATTCTCACCCATCACCCCCCAAATTCTGCTCTCCCCAAACTTTGCTTTCCCCAAACTCTGCTCTCCCCAAATTCTGCCCTCCCCATATTCCACCCTTCCCAAATTCTACTCTCTGCCCAAATTCTGCCCTCCCCATATTCCACCCTTCCCAAATTCTACTCTCTCCCCACACTCCGCCCTCCCCACGCTCCGCTCTCCCCATCCCTCCCCAGCTCTCCCAGTGCCGCCCCAGTCTGTGGGGCACGTACCTGTACCTGGTGCCAAAGTACTGAAAGAACACCAGGTACCGGGCCGGGGCACAGCCCATCTCTGCCGGGGGGCACCCCCAGCACCCTCCCCGGCCCCGACCGGCCGGGCAGCACCGCCCCTTCCCCCGCACGGCCCCGCCGCTTCCGCCGCCGAGCGCGGGGGGGGCGCGGGGAGCGGGGATGGAGCGATGGGGACCGGGATGGAGCGATGGGGAGCGGGGGTGGGATGATGGGGAGCGGGGATGGAGCGATGGGGAGCGGGATGGGATGATGGGGAGCGGGGATGGAGCGATGGGGAGCGGGGATGGAGCGATGGGGAGCGGGATGGAGCGATGGGGACCGGGATGGAGCGATGGGGAGCGGGGATGGAGCGATGGGGAGCGGGATGGGATGATGGGGAGCGGGATGGAGCGATGGGGAGCGGGATGGGATGATGGGGAGCGGATGGAGCGATGGGGAGTGGATGGGACGATGGGGAGCGGATGGAGCGATGGGGAGCGGGATGGAGCGATGGGGAGCGGGGATGGAGCGATGGAGCGGGATGGAGCGATGGGGACTCGGATGGAGCGATGGGGAGCGGGATGGGACGATGGGGATGGGATGGAGCGATGGGGAGCGGGATGGAGCGATGGGGAGGGGGATGGAGCGATGGGGACCGGGATGGAGCGATGGGGAGCGGGGATGGAGCGATGGGGAGCGGGGATGGAGCGATGGGGAGCGGGATGGGATGATGGGGAGCGGGATGGAGCGATGGGGAGCGGGGATGGGATGATGGGGAGCGGGGATGGAGCGATGGGGAGCAGGATGGGATGATGGGGAGCGGGATGGACATGGGGAGCGGGATGGAGCGATGGGGAGTGGGATGGAGCGATGGGGAGCGGATGGGAGCCATGGGGGAGCGGGGATGGAGCCATGGGGAGCGGGGATGGAGCCATGGGGAGCGGGATGGAGCGATGGGGAGCGGGATGGGATGATGGGGAGCGGGGATGGAGCCATGGGGACCGGGATGGAGCGATGGGGAGCGGGATGGAGCGATGGGGACCGGGATGGAGCGATGGGGAGCGGGATGGAGCGATGGGGAGCGGGATGGGATGATGGGGAGCGGGGATGGAGCGATGGGGAGCGGGGATGGAGCGATGGGGACCGGGAGCGATGGGGAGCGGGGATGGAGCGATGGGGAGCGGGATGGGATGATGGGGAGCGGGATGGGATGATGGGGAGCGGGGATGGAGCGATGGGGACCGGGGTGGGATGATGGGGAGCGGGGTGGGATGATGGGGAGCGGGGATGGAGCGATGGGGAGCGGGATGGAGCGATGGGGAGCGGGATGGAGCGATGGGGACCAGGATGGAGCGATGGGGAGCGGGATGGAGCGATGGGGAGCGGGGATGGAGCGATGGGGAGCGGATGGAGCGATGGGGACCAGGATGGAGCGATGGGGAGCGGGATGGAGCGATGGGGAGCGGGGATGGAGCGATGGGGGAGCGGGATGGAGCGATGGGGACCAGGATGGAGCGATGGGGAGCGGGATGGAGCGATGGGGACCAGGATGGAGCGATGGGGAGCGGATGGAGCGATGGGGACCAGGATGGAGCGATGGGGACCGGGATGGAGCGATGGGGAGCGGGGATGGGATGATGGGGACCGGGATGGAGCGATGGGGACCAGGATGGAGCGATGGGGACCGGGATGGAGCGATGGGGAGCGGGATGGAGCGATGGGGACCAGGATGGAGCGATGGGGAGCGGGGATGGAGCGATGGGGACCAGGATGGAGCGATGGGGAGCGGGATGGAGCGATGGGGACCAGGATGGAGCGATGGGGAGCGGGGATGGAGCGATGGGGACCGGGACGGGATGATGGGGAGCGGGGATGGAGCGATGGGGAGCGGGGATGGAGCGATGGGGAGCGGGATGGGATGATGGGGAGCGGGGATGGAGCGATGGGGAGCGGGATGGGACGATGGGGAGCAGGGATGGGCTCATGGGGATCGGGATGTGGGGGTGGAACGGGGATGGGATGATGGGGAGGAGGGATGGAATGATGAGGACCAGGATGGGGAGGGGGGGAACTCTGGGATTCACCTCGGCTGCTCCTCAGCTCTCCCGTTGTGCTACCTGCAACTTCCTTGGACCTGAGAAAATAATAATTGTATTGTTTTGACCTGTGAAACCCCGTAGAGGCCACAGGAGGTCACCTTGCCCCTTCTCCTGGCCTGGGAAGGGTTCTGCAGGGCTCATTGCCTTCCCTGCCTTCCTCAGACCTGCTAACTGTGGTTATTACCTGGAACTGATCAGCTGATAACCAGGTTTAACTCTGTGACCCAGCTTTGGTTGCCTCAGCGTTTGCCGCTGGAAACCACCAGAGCTCGACTCGCTGTTTGTTTTTCGTCAATTCCTAAGGGGATTTGATCCCTCGGGCCATTCCCAGCACAGCGTGGGGGCATCAGTTACCTGTCAGTCCCTCCCTGAGGCAGAGGGGAATGTCAAAAAGTTAAAATGTTACAGCAGGAATGGGACTCCCACAAAAAAAAAAAAAAAAAAAAGTGGTTTATGGGGATGTGTCTCTGTGTCCAGCCCTGTCCAGCTCCACAACCTGGAGCCAGGCTGGGAGAGCTGGGGGGTTTCATCTGAAGAAGAGAAGGCTCCAGGGAGACCTGAGAACCTCTTCCAGGGCCTAAAAGAGCTCCAGGAGAGCTGGAGAGGGACTGGGGACAAGGGATGGAGGGACAGGACAAGGGGAATGGCTTCCCACTGCCAGAGGGCAGGGTTAGATGGGATACTGGGAAGAAATCATTCCCTGTGAGGGTGGTGAGGCCCTGGCACAGGTTGCCCAGAGAAGCTGTGGCTGCCCCATCCCTGGAAGTGTCCAAGGCCAGGTTGGATGGGGCTTGGAACAACCTGGGGTAGTGGAAGGTGTCCCTGCCCATGGCAGGGAGTGGGAACTGGATGATTTTTAAAGTCCCTTCCATCCCAAATCCCGCCAGCACAGGCGTTTCAGGCAATCCCACATCCATGTATTTCAGCCTGCCTGTGGAAAGATGTGTTCAGGCAGCCACTGGCTGAGGGTAAATAACAGCTATGGGGACAAAAATAGGCAAAGATAATGATAATACACAAAGGCTGCAGATGTTCTTAATGACTGTGATCTGTATTTAAAAATCTTGGGTCTTTCTGAAACACTGAACTGCAATGTCTGTACGTGCAGAAGCCTCAAACCAGTATAAACAAGCACCCAACTCATTAGAAAAGCAGGGAGAGAGCAATAGAAAAAAATCTCTGGCCCCTCATACAAATCTGAGATCTGCTTTGAATGGAAAAATCCAACCAGCTTTCAACCCACACAATGGCATCCGGAGTCTATTATAATGAAAGTGATGAATCTCAGCTTTAAAGAGGACGGTAATTTCTAATCCCCGAGCCTGGGCACACACAGGCAGGCGGGAGCAGCCGCCCTCTTTCATCTCTGCTGGGAGCAGCAGAGGAAATAATCACTGCATTGGGCTGACCTTTATGAAACCACATGAAACAGAGGCCACAAGAGGTCACCTTGCCCCTTCTGGACCGAGGTGTTTGGCAGGGCTAATTCCCTTCCCTGAATTCCTCAGAACCCTCCAGCGGCTGATAAGGATGTGAACTGACTCACTGTTGCTCACACAAAGGTGCTCTTGGCTGTGGCTCTTGGCTGTGGCAGGAACAGGGGGCTAGAGGGGAATCTTGGCTGTGTTTTTTGTATAGGAATGACATCAAACATCTCATTTCATCTGATTCCATCACGGTTCTGTCCGTGGCTGAGGTAAGGCCATGGATTCAGACAAGTGTTTGACTCATGGTCCTACGACACAGGATTTTCTTAAAACGTGGAGATTTACACTTCAGGCCCTTCTCTCTGTTCCTATAAAAGTTCATCTCTCAGTTCTATAAAACTTGCAGTGAATGAGGTGGTTGATTCTGTTGTGTCTGTGGTGCTGGGTGGGGGGAGGCTCAGCACTAAGCCCATGCTAATTAACCTCATTTATCCTCACCATATTACGGTGCCTGTCCTGTGGAAAACGTGATCTGTTCAGCTGGACCCCCAAGCCCAGATGTCTTCCTTCCTTGGGTGATTATGTTGGCTTCAGAGGAGACACTGCAGATTTATCACAGGGCTGATGGCAGCAGCAAATCCACTGTGTATAGAAAATTAAAAACTAGATTAAGTAGTAACAGGATTGATGTCAATCCTTTTGCTGCTGCTGATACAGAATTGCACAGTTTGGTTGGTTGGGTGGTTTTGGTTTTTTTTTTAGTGCACACAACCTGGTGGCAATCCTACCTGCAAGGCATGGAATGGTTTGGGTTGGAAGGGACCTGTGAAGGTCATTAGTCCAGTGGGCAAGGACACCTTCCACTAGGGTGAGGTTGCTCAGAGCTTTGTCCAGTCTGACCTTGGATGTTTCCAGGGATGGGGTATCCCATCCCTCTCTAGGAGGTGGTGGAATCACCACCCCTGGAGATGTTCAAGATGAGACAGGGGAAGGCCAGATCAGATATTAGAAAAAATTTTTCACTGTGAGGGTGATCAGGCATTGGAATAAAAAGGTGGAAAAAGAAGGATGGTCAGGATGCCCTGGGAGGTGGTGGAGTCCCCATCCCCGGGGGTGTCCAAGAGGCACCCGGGATCTGGTGCTGGGCGCTGTGGGTTACACCGGGTGACAGCTGGACTCGACCCTAAAGCCCTCTTCCAGCCTGGATGTTTTTATGATCCTATGCCCTCAGAGGTCCTTTCCATCCCTAATTAACGCCGTCACCCCGAGCGAAGGGGACGGCACCCACCCACCTCATCCCGGGGGATGGGGGTGTGGGTGTCTGTGTGTGTGTGTGAGGGGGGTGCCGGACAGGGGGTGCCCCGCGGTCCATCCCTCCCCGCGGTGCGTGGCCGGCGGTGCCGGCCGTGGCCCGGTGCGGTGGGAGGGAGGCGGGTGCCGGGCTCGCTCCATCCCCGCAGCGGCGGCGGGGGGCGGGCGCTGCCCGCGCGTCCTCGGCTCCGGCGGGCGATGCGCTTCCTCCGCTGAGCGCGCCCAGGGCCGACCGGCAGCATGACGGTGGAGTTCGAGGAGTGCATCAAGGACTCGCCCCGGTTCCGGTAAGAGCAGGGCAGCCAGCCCGGGGCAGCCCCCGGCGATGGTTTCGGGAGGCCGGAGAGGGGACGGAGAGGTCGGCGGGGCCCTCCCCGGCTCCGCGCTGCGCGGGGCCGCGCCCGGGCTGCGGAGGGGAGAGGGGAGACGGCCCCGCAACCCCCGGAGCCGCCCGGGGGATGGAGACGGGGCCCAGCCGGGACAGCGGGCGTTGCCCCTCCGTGCCCCGCATCCCCCCCCCTCCAGTGCCCGGCATCCCTCCGGTGCCCCTTATTCCACCCCGCATCCCCCCCTCCCGTGCCCCTCATTCTATCCCGCATCCCCCCTTTCCCATGCCCTGCATCCCCCCCCGTGCCCCGCATCCTACCCCGCGTCCCCCCCTCTCCCGTGCCCCGCATCCCGCCCGTCCCCGCCGCGCTGTCCCGCTCAGTCCGGGCCCTTGGCACGTGAAAAAAAAAAAAAAAAATTAAAAATGAGGAATTCCACGATCCAGGCAGCCAGCGCCGGATCCCGTTGGGATTGGGACGGGGCATCACCCCGCGGGGCTCAGCCGGACGGAGCTGATTGGAACCGCCCGCAGAGCCGGGAGCTCAGGAATACAGTCATTTTCCATGCAGTCACATTCCCATCTCTTGGAGGGTGGATTTTTTTTTTTTTTTATTTTTTTTTTTTTAGCGGTCTTGAAGGAATCTGGGCTATGACAACAAAGACTCCGGCTCGGCTGCGCTGCATTCAAATCAGGCCGCCTCAGAAATGCCCAGGGCTGCAGGAGCCGCCACGCTCCGGGGGCAGATGCTCCATTGTGCCAGCAGCATCCTGGCTGCGCGTCCGGATGGGCTCCGATGTCCCGGCGCTATAAAGGGAATATCGGAGCTTCCACAGGGAACAATCTCCCGCTGCTTTCAGTGCTGTGTCTGGATGGGGACCGAGGGAAATACAGACAATAGCCTGCAGGAGCAAGTTGGCCGTGTGTGCAGGGGGAAAGAGTTGTCAGGGGGGGTTTCTCTCCTTCCTGCAGACATTTCGTGTTCCTTCTTCTCCAAACCTTGTTGTTTAATAAGTGAAACAGTTCGCATTTTGCTTTTAGGTGCGTTTACAAGTCCTCCCTTGGAATGCAGGCTGCATCCCGAGGGCTGCAGTGGTCTGTGGCTGTGGGTTCTCTGACAAATTGTCATTTTGTGTGTGTGGTTGTGGTGCAGCTGCAGGTAACACAAACACCTGGGCGAGGGCACCTCCTTTATTCCCGCGTGTGGGAATGTGTAGGGCTGCGGGAAGGGTCCTCCTCCACGTGTTTTAATTTTAATTGTGCGGCGAGAGTCTGCTCTGTCTTGTTCCAAAGCTGGTTCTGAAAGGTAAATGGATGGTGTCATGTGAGATGACAGGCTGGTCTTGCCCTGGCTGGGGCTGCAATCATGGGAGTTTTTCAACAGGAAAAGGACAGGTTGGCAGAAGATAGGGAGCTCCTGCTTTAATGCCCTGCTCACTTAGCATCAATTAAAATCGATCCTCCCCCTTTTTTTTTTTCCCCCTTTGGACTGTCATCTCGTCCCATTGTGCTGCAGAGCATGTGAACTTGCTCGGTGGCATCCTTCCAGAGCTGTGACTTCACTGGCCAGATGTCTCGTTCCACATGGCAGTGACCCTTTTCCTGGTGACGTCAAGATTGATTGATATGTTTATTTATTTATTTTGCCTTTGGTTTGTGTGTGTGTGTGTGTGTGTGTGTGGGCTCCGGGCCAAGTTTCTTAGTATGCAGGCAACATCATTCTGCTCTGTCTGCTCCATCCATAAAAACAAAACAGCTCTCAGAGCACTGTGCTGGACCTTTATCAAAAGGCAGTTATTTAAGCATGGAATTATGAACTATTTCCCAAATGGCCAGACACAGTCTGCCTGTTACGGGGAGAACAAGAGATTAGGCTGGAGGAATAAGGCTGGATATTTCAAGAGGGATGAAATGTGTGCAGCAGGGGGATATTTAAGCTATGAACACCTTAAACAGCGAGAAATCCTGACTTTAGCAGGCCTAGGGGAAAAAAAAAAAAAAAGAAGGAAGAACCAAATGGAATTTCTCAAAGGTACAGGTTTTAGCCTCCTCTTGTACTTTTCTTCCTTCCAAATCTTGAATTAATTCTTCTGTTAGAATTGTTTCAAGAGAATCCTTGAATGTGTGTAAGGGGCAGAGATGCTTGCTAACATGTCCCTAAAATCTTACAGCTATAAAAAAGTAAAATATACATATATATAAAAATATGGCTTAAAAAGAGGTGATAGAAGGTAGCACATAATCCACTTTCTCAACAGAGGCTGAGACAGCAATAGCTGAAGTCCCTTGCCATAGGAAGCACTGTGAAAGAGGGAAAATTTAATCCAGGTTTCCTGTGCCAGTCCTATAGGTAGGAATTACCCTCCCTTTCCTGCTGGCACCCACAGAACCCCTCTGCACTCCCCAGCCAAAGGTTGTGCCATGTTTTACAGCTGGTTTATTTATTCTCCTCAATCGAGTGATCAAAAATTGTCTTCTGTGTGTTGGACACAGGGAGGGCAAAAAGCTCCAAAAAAATGACACAGGCATAAAGAAACACTGGATTGAACACCCCATGATAAGGCTACCAAACTGGTCTACTTTAGCAATCATTTACATGCCAAAATGCTCCAGATCAATGCTAAGAATACACTCAATCCTTCAGTGCTTCATAGACACAATGAAAACTTGCATTTTCTTTTAAATTTCATAGACTTGAATATTGTCTCATCTTCACATTGGCAGATCAGAGCCTGATTTCCACAAGGCATCTTGTAGAGACGTGCATTCAGCTCCAGTAAACAAGGATAATTACCTTGAAAGACCTGTTCCTGCACATTTGAATGCAACCCCCGATAGATGCTGTGGCTTTCATCATCTCCCTGCCATGTGCAGAGCCTGCTGTTTGACTAGGAGGGGTCTGGGAAATCCAGGAACACGTTCCTGGCGTGTTCCCCTCGCTCCTGGAAGCTGGTGGTCCGGGCTGATGCAGAGGAGGAGCCAGTGCTGCCCTAACCCTTTAAGAGACAGTGCCAGATGAGTCACTTGGGTTCGTTTGGGGCTTCCAACCCAAACCATTCCGTGATTCATTCTTGCAAAAATGAAGGCCAGAGGAGCTGTGGCTGCCCCTGGATCCCTGGGAGTGTCCAAGGCCAGGTTGGAGCAAGGGACACCAGGAGGGTGAGGAACGAGATGATCTTTAAGGTCCCTTCCCACCCAAAGCCGTCTGCGATTCTGTGACACTCACTCTGGGTGTAAATGCGCTCCAGGAACACTCAGGAGGATAAGGGAAGAGGAGGAACAAATTGCAGAGGCTGGGCCTGGCTCTGCAGGCCACAGAAAACCCCAAATGGCTCTGTGGTAACTCCCGAGATGGGTGGTTATTTCCATAACTAACGTTGCTAATTGTCGTCCTTGTCGCTCTTAACGAACCCGATTAATCAGCTTGTTGTGAGGTCAGGGTTCCCCATGTCCATGGGCTGAGCCAGAGCTGCCCTGCCCTGACTCTAGCACAGTGACTCAGGTTCTGGAATCTTCTCCCAGGGAGCCCTCACAGCCGCCACAGCCTACAGGAGCAGACCATTAACAGCATCTCTCCACGGGCATCCCAGCTCCAGGTCCCTGGGGGAGCCCTGTGCTGCTCAGCAGGAATGGGAGACCTGGAATTGAGGTTTCCCGAGGCCAGATCTGAGGGGTGGCAGCTTCACCTCCCCCATGCCTTGCAGCCTCTTGTCTGGTGGCTCAGACACTCCAGGAGCAGCGCTGTCGTCAGGCAGTGACCCAGGGACATAGGCAGAGAGCTTTGTTCTGGCACTCTGCAGCACTGTCTGCACCCTGTTGTGGTCTCATTAGGCAGGGAAAGGTGCAGGGGTGTAATTCCAGCTCCGTGAAAGATGCAAGGAAATAAAAAGCCACTTGCCAGAGGAAAGGAAAGTGGAAAAACGAGTACATTTAGAAAATAACCTTCGAACTCCGACTGGGGCGTTTCAAACAGAACGGGAAGAATTAAAACCCCTGATCTTCCTAAGTCTGATAACAGATGGAATCAGGCAAGTTTAAAGCCAGCATAACCAGTTTTAGTGCACCCAGGCTGGGTGAGTGTGTGTTAGCAAAGGCCTGCCCAGGGAAAACCTGAGTGGCTTCCGTGTGCTCTGTGCCAGCTGACCCCGCACCCCAGCGAGGTGCAGCTCGGGGTGAGCCAAGCTTATTAATTAAGCTGGCCAGCTCGAAGCAAATCGAAATGGCACACACAGGATGGCCAAAGGAACTCGACCAGTTCAACCAGAAGAGCAAAGGCATTGATTTGGAATCGTTTTTTTTTGTTACACAAGGCTTATGTAAGCAGGATCCCCCGAGCCCGGTGGCAGTCGCACGACACCCACACGGAGCTGCTGCTTCTTGAATCGCTCACTAACGAGCCCAGTTGCCAGCACTTGCTGCTTCAGTTGCACGAGGGGGAAGATGCTATCATAAAAGCAAGGTTGCTGTTATCTGTGTCAATCATGGTGCATTTATTTCTTATCTGGCTATCGTCAAAGGGAGGTGTGTAAAGGGAGAAGTCAAAGCAAGAATGTCACCGTGGAGCTGCTTCCTCTCACACTACCGTGAGATGCTCTCCAGTTGCAGTTGTCCATCCTGCCCATCCAGCCCCTGAATATCTCTGTGGGAAGCTTTGTTCCCTGTGGGAAGCTTTGTTCCCTCTCCTGGTTTCCAGCCTCCCTTTTTCGGTGTCGCTTCCAAGTGACCCCAGGTCAGTAAAGCAGAACCAAGTCTGGCCTTTGCTGGGGTTGTGCCCGGACAGGGTTGATGGTGGGGGCCCATCCCCAATTTGTTTGGTTGTCTCCTCTCCCCACACGTGTATTTGGGGCAGTTTGTACCTGATGTGCCATTCCCAGCCTGGGGATGTGACAGCATCTCCCAGAGGGTGTGTGTGACATTCCAGCTGCTCCTGTGTCAGGTGAATCCTGGTCACACAGATCACAC